TCAAAACTCCGCCGGCGAGGCGTCCCCGTTCGCGGAGATGGTCGCAACCTGGCGCGGCTTGAGCTTGACGCGTTTGCCCGTTTGGGGAAGCAGCCGGTCTACGAAGTTCGGCCGGGAACACCCTCCAAATGGTTGATTGACATGCAGCCCGATGTCCATCATGCCTTTTTTGGAGGCAATTCTCACTTGCCCAAAAGGACCCAGAAATAAAAGGTTAACCTTTTGGGGTCATGACTAAAACTAGACCAAAAAGGAGAAACCAAAAGGTCAAAAGGTCGGCGTTGGGCAACTGAGAATTCTGTGAGGATCCACGAAACTGGCTGAAGAACCATTTGGGTAGCCCTTTATTACGAGAGGGTGTAGGTTGCATAACCCTAAACCCAAACCCTGCAGTGCCTTTTTGATCCCTTCAACAGCCAGGGTCCCCTCGATTCTCACCTTCTCGATACCGAATGCCCCTAGGCTCAGCTGAACTGCGCCAACGGGTGGTCTAGGGGCGCCCAAACCCACCAGAGACCCTTCCATTTGGTTAAGGCCCCAGGGAAACAAATATTTCCAGTAGTGATGATTTCCTTTCAAGACCAACAAGAGAAAATAAACACTATTCTTAAGCAAAAGGAGGGGATCTCAATGATTTGCCCAATGGTTTACTGAGAAGGCAGCCCACTTTTGGAGAAAACCACCCTTATAACAAACTGGGGTTGACTAACGCGGGGTCAACATGGCCGTGGGTCTAAAATAGGTACCCAAAATGGGTTGCCTGGGTAAATAAATGGAATCAAGGACGAAAACCTGTGGTCTGGTGGTTTATTTTTTTTACCCACACCCCATATCTCTTCGCGTTTTTTGTAAAACCCACAAACGAGTGGTACCCATCCCCAAAAAAGACCATCCCATACCCATCCCCCACATTAGCGGTTCAACCTCCCACTGCCCTTTCCGAAGGCCTCGAGAAATTTGCTCACCCCTCTTGGCACGAGAAAAAAAAAGCACCGGGGTCCAGTGAAAAGGTGCCCCCTACTCCAAATACCCATTTTTGTCTAGGGTAGTTGTTGGAGAGCCGGTTTTTTCAAGGTAAACCTTCCTTTTTTAGGTCGACATGATGCCCTAAAAAAAGTGGGTTTTTGGGGTCGGGGGTGTGTCCAAGGCAAGTCAAGTTGCCGCATTTGGAGGCAGCCCGGGGTTTCCAAGGAGGGGAGGCACAGGCGTCGCCTCGGGTGTAATTGGGAGTCTGGAAACACATCAAACCCGATCCACCAAAATGGCTTGCGACTAGGAGTTACAACTGATTGGCTTATGAACTTGTTCAACCAATGAGGTTTCTTTGTAATTGTCTCACCCCCCAAAATGTTGCGCTGGTGCTCAGATCTTGCTGCTGTCATATCCGGAGGGCGACGCTGCCCGGGCTGGAGAACCCTGCCTGGGCGATTTCCTTGGGAGAGGAGATGGCCGCGGCACGGCGCTCAAGGTCCTGACAGTCCGCCGTCGACAGGTCCGCGCGCAAAAAACTACCAGCTCCTTTCTGAAGGCTTGCGCCGCCTTCGGTTTTGTGGGTATTTTGGGCGTGTGAAAATTGGGGATCCCTAAAATGATGTGCTTTCCTTCAGTTGTCCATTCAAACGATCCAAAGAGGGAACCCGGGACACACCAAAATTTGTGGTTGGTAGGGAGGATGCAGAAAAAAAGAAGAGAAGCAATCCGTCGTTGAATCAGCCGATGTCCAAGCCACTGCCCAAAAACTCCACTTGTCTTGGCTCTCCGCCCAACACATGGACAGCTCAATGGGTGTGTGTGTGTGATTCCGGGAACCCCTCCAAAATGGATTTTGGTGGTCCTCTTGGATTCAAACAAAAACGGGGGTTCCCCCCGAAAAATGACAGGCCCAGTTGTTTTTGCTAGCCGTCTCAATCTGCTTTTCTTCTGACATGGAGCCGAGGAGATTCAGAGCTCGTTCCCCCATGTCGCTCCCAACGTAGCCGACCTTTGGGAAACATGGATGGCCCTGGCACAATGGAATCACACCTATCTAAACCAAAGCTCTATCCAAAATGACCGGACAAAAGGACACCTATGTGGATGGGCGAAATCCATTTTGCACAACCTAAGAAACCCCGGAATAATTCGATTCCCCTGCAAATGCCGTAGCAAACGCTTTGGTTTCAACCATGGTTTCCTTTCGTGGTGTGAGATGCGGATTTCGCAACCATCCACAGTATGGCTTGCAATTAGACCATAGAGCCGTCGGATATGTTGGTCTCCTCCAGCACAAGCTTCACGCCGGCGTCGATGCCCCGCTTCAGGTCCTACGCGGATTCGGGACTCGCCTGCCCGCTAAAGGACCCACCCCGGGCCGAATCAAAATGGGTTGCTGCTGGAGGGCCCTGGTTGCTGTCCCTGAGAGGGGTTGGACCCTCCCGAGGAGGGACCGTGAGCGTTTGGGCAATAAAAGGCAAACCTTTTGGGCCCTGATCTGGAAATGACTCTGATAGCGGCAAAAACGGAACCCAAGAATGGCAAACTTAACTGAAAGGCTAACCGATTGGGGCCATGACTTAAAATGGGACCGAAACCATTCGGGTTTCAAGAGCGGGGTAGGAAGGCAGGCACTTCCATCTGGTTTGGCAGGACGTCGCCGCGAAGCCACTGCGCCAGGGTGAAGCCAAATTCACCAATCCACATGGGCAGTCAGTCCCGCCCCCCCCCCCCCCCCCGAAGGCCTGAAATTGAAAGGCCTGCTTTGTACCTAGACTCTCCATGACCCTTAAAATGGGGTCATGACCCCTTAATTTTGGGTAATGACCAACCATTTTGAAAGGGTCAGAAGGAGACTCCAGGTACACAGTTTGTGGGTCAAAGCCAGAACGAATAGGCTCGCTCTTCGGGGAAGGTGATCGGACCACCGAAAGGACACGTCATGTCCATATGGACAGGGCTCCAAGACTGTTCCCTAAGGCGGCAACCGTTAAGCAGCCTGCAAACCTGAAACACAAATACATCCTGGAGTCCACTGGAGTCTACATGACCCTTTAAAAATGGGGTCATTACCCAAAATTAAGGGGTCATGACCCCATTTTTTAAGGGTCATGGAGAGTCTAGGATCCCCTTGGGTGTGTCCCGAAATCGATCATCCATCTGAGCGAAGGCGTGTGTGCAGTAGCCGAATGTGTGTTCGGTGTCGAATGCCCGTCTTCGGTCGCATTCTAGCGTTCTCTGTGTCGTAGGAGATGGTTCAGCCCATCAACGACGATGGGTCTGAGGTTTTCCCTCAGTTTACTCAGTTGCTTCTCAAACAATGACAGATCACAAAGTGGAAAGGAGTAGTAGTACCAAAAATCCACCGTCACATGAACTTCCGTCGAACAGGCGGGTGGGGTGGATGGCATGGGTCTATGTCCCTCCCATTCTGGCCGCTAAGTTTCACAGCAAAGGTGTCCTCTATGTTACTCTCTTGGCACAAAGCTTTGAATATTGAGAAAGGCCAGTGTGGCAGGCCAACTTAAACCCCCATCCAAAGCAGATCGACCTTTTGGTTTTGTTTGTTTGTTTGTTGTGTCCCCCAAGAGGGTTTTGATTCCTGAGTCCTTTGGGCCTATGCAAAAAGTGTCCAGCCCCCAATCCAAAAAGCATAGGACTCTGGCAATGTGGTTTGGACAGTAAGGGGCTACCTTCCTCATTTGGCTTCAAAAGGACGTAGGCTTCAAATCCCCAAACCACCGGACTCCAAACCACCAATTACATATCCCACTTACAATGATTGCAAGTCGCCTGTAACCAAGGTTACTCGCCATTTGGCTGTGGGTCAAAACCCATATGGCACCATTTTGGGGTAGGCGCACCGCCCGTTTTAGTCTATTTTAGTGGGGATTGGGACGTTCAATGGGGCATAGCCGGGGTTTTGACCCATGGCCAGTTAGCGATTCGTCACAGACCATCTAAGGACCTGAAACCACCCGCCCAGACCATGGGCTGCGCGCCATCGGGTTCATGCCGGCGACCACCTCGGACGGGGGGTGGACGTAGGTGCCCACGCGGGAGTCCGCGGGAGAAGTGGGGGGGAGGAGAGAGTCTTTGCGAAAAGCTGGAACTTGGGCTGGTATGAGTGTGGTGTACCGTATATAGATACACACCTATGCATTAAACAAATGCACGTGTATGCATATATATATAGGTATATATAGGTATCCTAATGAAGCTGGCGGAGCCGGGGGGGGGGGGTTCAAAAACACAGGACTATAGGTTGGAGCACGCTTCTTTTTTTCCCTTCTCTATCTCGCTCTTTCTCTCTCTCTCTCTATCTCTCTCTCTCTCTCTCTCTCTCTCTCTCTGCCCCTTCCTTTGTCTTTTTAATTTTCTCTTGCTCTTTTCCTTTATCTTCCTCCCCTTTCTCTTTCTCCTTCTCTTTCTCTTTCTCTTTCTCTTTCTCGTTGTCCGGCTCTGTCTCTGTCTTCTTATCTTTCTCTTCTCCCTTTCTCTGTCTCTTCCTCTTCTTTATTGACCTTTCTCTTCTTCTTTCTCTTTCTCATCTCTTTCGGTCTCTCTTTTCTTTCTCTTTCCTTTGACTTTATCTGTCCTTTCTCGTTCTGTTTATCTTTCTCTTTCTCTTTCTCTCTCTCTCTCTCTCTATATGTCTGTACATGTTTGTCCGCCTGTCTGTCTGTCTGCCTGCCTGCCTGCCTGCTTGTCTGTCTGTCTGTCTGTCTGTCTGTCTGTCTGTCTGTCAGCAACCACGCACAGGGCCCACGTTTGCGGCGGCTTCTAGATTTGTCGAAGCTTCTTCACGCGCAGGGTGCATGAATTCTTCTTAGAGGGACAGAGAGATCTAGTTCCAGCGAACTATGAGTTCCGTCTAAACCTTCTTTGATAACGCAAAAATAACACGCCTACATATATATCTACAGGCCTATATCACTATGTCAGTATGGGCTTGTTTCCAAATTGCAGAGCCTCCAACAGGCGTGACTTCTTTTTGGTTTGCCTTCAACAAGTTTAATGGTATGCATTTGTACATTCACTTCGACATCATCCAGGGATCCCCCTGATTTGGTCACCAATTTTCCCGCTACACGGGGACCCACTTCTAATCTGCAGGCAGTATCGACCTGTTCAGATGAACATTGTTGAGGAGGATGTGGGTATGGTATGGGTAAACCACCGCGGGTTTTAGTCAAGTGTCCATCCGGGGTTCCATTCTGGGTACCTATTGTTGACCCACCGCCGCGCCGTGGCTACGAGAGTCTCTCATTACTTTGGTGTCAGGGCTGTCCCAGATCGGCAAGCGCTCGAAGGCCGCTGATCTTTTTCCAGGTCCTCCAGTAGAGAGGTTAGAAAAAATTGTACCCTTTTTTTCTGTATATAGTCGATTTTAGTATCAGAACCCTCCCGGAAAAAGTGTAAATAGGCACTACTGGGAAAACCTAGTTTTTCCACTGGTCACAACATGACAACCAAAGGATCGATGGGATCGACGAATTGAAATGAGTTGCCAAGCTGAGGCACCCTGAGCCCTACATGTTCTGCGCTCTGCCTATTTGAGACAATGGCAAACTGGATCTAGGGTGGGCAAACTACCTTTTCATGGTTGACGTTGGCAGGGGAGCAACAATTTAAATTTCAACAGTTAAGTGGTTGGATTTCAACGACTAAACCACAATAAGCCAAAAAGTAAAATGGTTCCCAACAACCATGTTTGGGGTTTGTTTCAACCCACTGTTCATTGCGCATCCTTGTTTAGGTCTCCCTGAAAAAGGCCTTACATCGCTGATGCAGGTTTGGACATAGCTGCGTAGCTGGGAGGCGTGTTGGGAATGCTGTGAGCGGTCGACTTGGGCGGTGTCCGAGGATCAGGTAGTGAATCTCAGTTGCCCAAACGACCTGGAAACACAAACAAACTGTTAGGGGCCATGACCAAAAATGAACCGAATCAGGGAAACCAAAAGATTAACATGTCGGTTTCGGATACTTGAGTAATCAATTCTGTAGTCCCGTTGCGTTTTCTCATGGATGCTGAGACTGGGCTGTTCAAACCGACCCCATGCTAAAAGTGACCAACTTTTGGTGGGCTAAATATGGACACCCAACCACTAAACCAACCAAAAAGCCAAAATGCTAAATTGAACCGGATGGCTGGGAACCACCAAGGACAACAAGGAATATCTTGTGATATGGTTGCCATGAGGTTACGGCCAAGACTCAAGATATCTGAGCCATGCCGCCTTCGCAACACTTTCCTCCATCGGATATGTCCCCTGGAAAAATCGCAAAATATGTCCAGCTGAGTGAAATCCATTCCGTTAACAACCTGCAGTGGAAAATACAGGTTCACTTCAGCAAATGGAGGCTTTTCGAGGTGCCTGAAAGGGAGTTTGCTACAGGGTAAGTAAAGCATGGCTATGACCACGTGATCACGTGCGGGGCTTTGAGGGTCTTTGCCGAAAAAGCCCCAACGATATGCCACGTTTGGTTTCCCCCTTAAAATCACAAAATGGGGGTACTCTCCAACAAAACACACCCAAATCCCTTTCGGTTTGGCGATGACATGTCCAGTTCGGCAAGCAAAGGGCACTGAAGGGATCGATTCGCTGAGGTAGTGGTCGGCTACCCATCGAACTCTTCCGATTTCCACATGGCTGGCTCGTCGCTTTTTGGCGGAGTTTCAATGGATTTCCTCTCCGTTTTCCTTGAAACCCAGCAAGTCAGCGGGGGGTTCCGCAACAAAAAGGCGAGCCGCCCATGTTGAGTAGGTTTTGTTGCCTACCATCCCAAGAGGACTTGGTTGACGTTGGAAGGGGAGCAACAATTCGAATTGTAGCAGCTAAGTGGTTGGATTTCAACCACTAAACCACCACAAGCAAAAATGTAGAACATGTTTCCCAACAACATCCCACGAAGAGCTGCTTTAGTAGGTGGTTGCCACAATAAGCAAAAATGTAGACCATGACCATGTTTCCCAACAACAACCACGAGCCGCCGCCTTCTTTGGTTTGCCCCCCCCCCCGCCTCCCAAGACCAAACGACGCGGAGAAGCTGGCTGGGCGCGTGGCCGCCTTGGTGCCTTCTCTGAAGATGGCCCGCGCCAGCACCGTGGACCTCCGAAAGGCGCGTCGCGGCGCTTTGGGCGCGCCTTTGAAACAGCCAAAGGGCTCGGTCCACCCTGGGCCGAAGACCTCCCCAGAGGGTGCCTTGGTACTTCATGAGGATGGCGTTTGGGGGGTCAAAAGGGGTCTAAGTACCTCAAAAGGTACTTGGAGCCTTTGGGCTCATGATTTCAGGCCTTTAGGGGTCAACGGCCCTCATCTTGGGGCCCAAGGGGCTCCTAGGAACACACAACCACACACACACACACACTAGGGAAGCTCATGCTCGTAACTGGCTTGAGGGAACGTTCAAACATCAAACATCAAACAGGCAACTGGATTGCCAAGCGCACGGACCTGATTGGACATGATGCCTCCTGGTGCCTTGTGCCATGTAGCGAAGAGGCCTTGTGGCTTAGCCTTATGCTATGTAGCAAATGGGTGCCTTCATTTCTTCTGGATCCAAAAAGAACGGAAGTGATTCCGATGGGCAGGACGAAAGATCAACGCAAGATGAATGGCCAGGTCCTGAAAGCTGACTGCAATGCCGTGACACACACACACACACACACCCAGCCCGTAGCCATGACCGGACCCAAACAGTGTCAATCAGGGGGCCTTGAAACAAACCCGGCTTGGAGCTTGAAGACCAAATCAGTAACCCACAAGTTGAAAACGATAGGATTGGGGAGCGTAAACTCACGAGTGTGTGTGTGTGTGTGCTTTGTTAAGCGGGGGAAATGCGTCGCCATCCCAATTAACCACTGTTCGTTGGAGGGTCAAGTCAATTGCATGCGTTTGTTGGAAACTTGGGGTTGCGTGCTAAAATCTCCCTGCCTTCTCGTTCTCAATAGACCAAAGGCCATTAAACACATACCCAGCGACAGGGTTCTTGGATGATCCCAAAGTTGACTTTCACTCGGCTGCGCCATCCAGTCTACCTTGGGTCCTTGCAAAAGTTGAAACTATCTGGGTTGTCCAACCTGGAAACAAAGTAATGATAATTCAAACACAATGATTGATTCATGTGGATGGGCAACTCCGCATCACACCAGCTCGGATGGGACACGCGCACCTACGAGCTCTACGCCATTGTCTCGCTTCTTGAATGGATTGGCTAAGTCCAGGAACTCAGGGAGTTTAAAACCCACCCAAAGAGGGGGGGTACGGCTTTTTGTTGGCCGCGTCCCGGCCAATTGGACGACAGGAATGATGCAAATTCTCGACATTTCGATCAGGGAGCAGAAGAACGACACGGCATTCGGCGAAATTCCACGTGGGAAAGTCGGACCCAACCCAAAAGGTGACGAAAGTCCACCTGGAGTCTCCATGACCCTTTTAAAAAATAGGTCCATGACCCCATTATCTAGGGCAATGACCCCATTTTTAAAGGGTCATGGAGACTCTCGGCATGAACTTAGGACCCAGTGCCCTCCTCACCCGAAAACTGACTGAGCAGTGCCGGCGTGGTGGTGCCATCCCCCGCCAGGTCGTTCGTCTTGGACGCCACCTGCGAGTCTGCGAGGCGTCGGACGAGATGCTTTTTCCGCGGGTCGAGCTGGGCTGTCCGTGTTCACACCTGCTCAACTAGGTCCTCCAGTAGAGAGCTTAGTATAAGGGTACCCTTTTTTCCATAGTCTATTTTAGTAGGGGAACCCTCCCCTACTAAAAGAAACGGTAAAAGGGCACTACTGCAAAAAAACCTGCTCAGAGTGAACAAAAACTTTGAGCGGCTAAAAGTTGAACTCGTGGGTTAAATGGAAAACCAACCTAGCGATGGCTTGGAACCAGCAAGATCACATGTCCAAAGCCAATCGAGCTAACCTTTTGGCTTCTCCCTGATTTCGCTACCGGATTTTGTTGTTTCGCATTTCAGGACAGGGGATTGCACACAACGACAGTGTGTGTGTGTGTGTGATTGTTCAATGGGAGCCTGGTCCATTTTAGGCACGTAGAAAAAGCCGACCCTTCCAAATTTGAACGACAAGCGTCCATGGCAATGTTGCAATTTTGAGTCCTTTTGTGTGCCCATCAACGTACTGAATGCTAAATGGCTCAACTTGCCGGTCTCATTGACAGTTTTCGACCTAGGGCTCCCGGTAGGCACTGTAGTTGTATGCGATGTTCTTGAAGTGCACGACCAAGGTTGCCATGCGGGACATCTCGGCTGAGGCTTGGCATATTGAAGCTGGGTGGCAAACCACTGCAATATGGCAAAAGGTTGACCTTGGATTTCCAGCTCCCATAGGGGCAAATGAGCATGCTTTGGTACAGATGCCCCTACCGAACGGCCGGACACCCCAAATATCCCTCCCATTCTAAGTGCAGATTCCTTTTGAGTTATAGTAGATATGGCAAGAACAATGGGACACCCCGCCGTAGTTTACCATGGGTGTGGGGGCACTGGACTTTAACCCAAGACTTCGCCAGCTTGACATGGAACACAAAAAACCATGATTTGCTAGCAAAACCCCTGTTGGGGGGCCCTTTTTTTGGGTTCCTTCTGCGAATTGGTGAGTTCTTTGATCCTAAGAGCTGCAGAGTGAATGCCGTTGGCTTTTTTCCGTGCCTACAAAAGTTGTTCAACAAGACCTACCAGAGCCAACTCAAACGCTGAAAAAAACTGCACACGAGCCCTCCTCACACCTCCAATTCCCTCCTTGCATGAAAGAACATCCCAACCCCACTAAAATAGACTAAAATGGGTGGTGCACCAATCCCAAAATGGGATCCCATTGGTTTTGACCCACGGCCATATAGGGGGAAGGGCCGACTGGACCCCTCGTTCCAGAACTCAGGGCGGGGGATTTCTTCAGCGCTCTCCCGGGCTTCGTCTGAACATGCGCAAAATCCCCCCCCCCCCCCGCCAAAGGGCGGGAAGGAGCTGCCCAAGGAAACACCCGACACCACAGGTCACCTTCGGATTTCCTCAAATCAAAGTCTTACCCCTTAAAACTCCAAGCCCTGGGGAAGTTAATCTTTTACAGACATATAGCCCATGTTACCCAAAAAGTTGAAAAGTTGTGTTTTTAAGAGGTAAGAAGTTGATGAATTTACTGGTGGTTCCATATCGACACGATCGATCCACGTTTGGAGGTTCCCGTAAAAAAGCTTGCTCGGAAACCCGGACGCAACATGCAACTACAACATTCCGCCTGAAAGTTCCGATTTGGATCCCCGAGGACATTCATTTGGGCCTAAAGTCAGTATGTGACATTTCCCTTCATTCCAAGATTTGACACGGAAATGAACCTGACTTGGGCTTCAAGTGCAAGCAACTGACAAGTGAAAGGACCTTCAAAACGGGTCCCAGTGCTCTGTGTTGTTTAACAACGTCAACGTGCTGAACATGTGCCGCATTCGCATGAAATAAATTCTGACCGAAACATAGCACATCTGCACGGGGTCCACTGCTAATTGCGTGAACCCCTCCACTCGTTGCACACGCCGTCAAAACTCGCCTGCTTTATCAGGGAGGCGCCCACGTTCATGAGCTTGTGCTTGAATTCCTGGGCTGGAACGGGCGCAACTGCCAAGAAAGGCCCAAAGTTCAAAACACAGGAATATGTTCCCACAAAAAGAAAACTCATGTTTGTTGTTCTGGCAAAACAGGTGATGTTTAAACCCGGAAACTGAGCTCCAAGATGTTCCGGTGAGTTGATTGCTTGACCATCGACGATTGACCATTGGGATCTGTGATCATAGTCAACTTCAAGTTATGTGAGAAAGGGGTGTGTCTTGTTTTACCCCCCCCCCCCCCCCGCCAAAAAAGAAATCACAAGTAAAATAAGATGGTGGCTGTCTTGCTAGTCCCCTTTCAACACCAGCCAACCATCAACAAAACAGCCGCGGCTTAAGTAGAGACACACCCAAGCATTTGTTGAGTCGAACAATCTCGCTGATCTGAGGTGAAAAAACGGGCGTTCAGGGTTCAGGGGTGCTCGGAAGACCTCAGAAGAAATTGGCGGAAAGTGGTCTGCCTGGTAACCCTGATGGACGAAATCTTGCACCACCTACGGATCACCATTTTGGGAGTCCGATTCCTTAAACTCACTTCTTGAGTGGACTGGCCAAGACAGGTCTAAACTTTCGGTTTGCCACTAAAATGGTCTTCGGAAAAAGCTTAAAGTCCAGGAACTCTGGAAGTGAGTAACAAGACACACTCATCTTTCTGAGGCCCAGGTGCAACCTGAAGGGTTGCATTGAAACAGCTGAAATCGAACCACTCGATTGCGTGGGGGGCGTTTGTGTCACGTGCTGCCATGTTTTTGCTTTGATTTGAAACGGTTCTGAAGGGGAGCCTCGCTCAGGACCAAAGAGCGGGACACCGAAATGGGGCCTTTTTTGCGGCTCTGAGATATACAAACCCGATTAGATGGTCATTCACGTGCGTAGGTGTTTTACCATTGGAATAGACCTCAAGCAGAGCCACACAGATCCTGTTTTGATGTACCCTCAAATCCAGGTTTGTTAATTTGAATGTATAGGCACATATGAGCTGCACGAGGCTTGAGTCCTTTTGGGCGCTCAAAATGGAACCCTCTCAAACCCCAACCCAATCGATGAGGTGGCTCAATACAACGTGCCTATAGAAAGCCCCCACACTCCGTGGCCCTCGTAACTCCAGGAATTGGGCCTGGGCGATCCAACAATTCGATGATCTTTTGGGGGCATGGGGGAGACGCCCGTAGAACATTACTGCAGCTGCGTTTTTCTCGGATATGATGTACCCCGAAGGAACCTGCATGCGCAGCTCGCTTTATGCCTGGGACGGTGAAATCGTCATGTGTCTGGAGAATGATGCCGTGGTTTTTGGCCCCAACCGAAAATCCTACTACATGATGTGGAATAGTTCTCAAGATTTGGGGTTCACATGTAAAATGTCAAGATTGATCTCAGTGCTTTGGCTTCCTTAAGCCAACCCCAAGGGAAGCAAAACATTCTAAGCAGATTGGCAAAAAATAGAGCAGTTTGGTTTACCACTTACCCAGAGGGTCCAAGTAACTTCTAAGGAGGTACTGAACGACCCCTTTTTACCCCCTTTTACGCCATCCTCATGAGGTCCCAAAAAACCCGCTGGGCAAGCTGGTCCAGGACCGGAGGTGAGGCAGCCGCGACAAAACCGACGAACAGAGCGCGGAGCTGCGCGTTGCGATCTGAGGCGCGATGGCCCTCGCCACAGTGACGCCATCCTTGGTGACCTGCCGCCGGCCGCAAAACCCCAAATGGTCGTGGCGCGGGGTCAAGCCAGCGCCAAAACATGCGCGCACCCACTTGCCGAGTGGATGGCCCAAGAAAAGTCCAAACTTTAGATTTACCACTAAAATGGTCTTCCCCCAAAAATATATAATTACAGTTCATGCACTCAGGAAGTGAGCCGCAAGGAGGGTGTTGCTTGTTTTGTCAGCACCCTTCTTTTAGAGGGAACGCAAACGTTGGCAAACACGAATTGGATGGGGGGGAGGGTTCAAATCCCTAGACGTAGCCAAGTCCACAGACCCCTTGGTCACTGTAAGAGAAAAACAACAACCTTTTGGTAGCCGAACAAACTCCTCGGATTCGGCGATTCTTCTTGGAACAGGAAAGGACACTTTGAAGAAAGCCGACAGAACCCAGCAGATGTTCTATTGGGGTGGTCATCTGTTAAGAACGGCCAAGAGACCAACCCTTCGTCCTAAGCGGAACCCAAACGAAAACGCGTTTGCTGGGCCTAAAGAAAAAGGGGTAGAGAACCATATGTTCAAACCACATATGTTCAGATTCTGTACAGTACGGGTGCCCCAAAAATGGTGGTTTTCTTTTTGGCTTCTCTTTCAAACCCACAAAACCTCGAAAAAACACGAGCCCCCTATAGTCAACGGCATCTTGGCGGAGACCCAAGGCGATGGTATGGCGTGGCACAGTACCGGACCCAAAGCTGGGGTGGATCAACTCCCCCTTGTACTGGACACCTAAAAATCCGGTGATCTCGGGCTTTCTGATCCCAAAAGGTCCAAGTACCTTCTGAGGAGGTACTGAACGACCCCTTTTTACCCCCAAAAGCCATCTTCATGAGGTACCAAGGGACTCTCTGCGGATTTGAAGCATTCCCGAAACAGATGATAGGCCATCAGAGGAGGGCGCGCCCTGCCTTGGGCGGGCCGAAGCTCTGCTCGATGACCACGTTCCGGCCCTGGCGGAACCCTGCTCAAAATGGCGAACCACTCCCAGAACATCCCTTGGTGCCTGATGAGGGTGGCTTTTGGGGGCTAAAAATGGTCGTTCAGTACCTCCTTAAGAAGGTACCAAGGGAAATTATGGGTTTGGTTGGCTTTAGGGGAAACCATCATGTTAGGGAACCCTTGCTTTCAGAAACACCCCCTTGGCGCATGGGTGCGTCTCAAAACAGGGAAGCCCAAAAGAGGGTACAGCAAAAGTGCCCACATGAGGGTTTCTGTACCCAGTTCGGAGTTGAAGGGGAAACCCATGCGAGTTTTTGTTTGGTTTCCTACAGAAAGCCACATGTGGCGATTTGTTGGACCCTTCCACGGCTCCACTCCCTGCTTTGCAGGGAGTCGTAGAATAATTAACCAGCTGATAGCTAAGTGGCTGAGGAGTTATTGACAAGTGGCTCAGCATCCAGCACCAATCCCCTTTAAGTAAGGATGAAAAACAACACCACAGCAGGCTCAGTGACACGGATGCGCAAGCGTGCCAAGCCCCTCCTTGGGGCCGAGCGTCACCGCCACTGCGTCCGCCAAGCGGTTGGCGCCTAACGAAACGGGCGAAAGGTTGGGCTGTGCCAGCAGTACAGCTCTTTTGGTTGGTTAGAGGGTCACTTGCTGAGTGAAAGGGCCCAACGTTTTTCTTTTCCGCCAGCATGGTCTTGCCAAAAAGTTTGAAGTCCGCGAAATCAGGGGAGGAGAGTTTGTGCTTTTGGGTTTGTCTTGGGTTTGTGTTTGTTGGTTGCTTTTACGACAGGGACCAGCTCAGAGGTTTTTCAGAGGGAAATGGCCCAGGTTGGATGAAGTGCTTACTCTGCCCCAGAAGCAATCAGACAGCACTTTGCAAGGAACATGACAAGTTGGTGCCCCTTGACTTGGCATTTGATTGAAGAAAGGTGTCAGTGGATGCTGAAATTCTTGGCTGCCAGTTTCCACGATCCTGCCTCAAGGCGGGGACCGTAAGCTAAAACCACCGCCGCTAGGGAACACTAATGGATGCGTTTTGGAGTTTGTTCCTCCAAAGCAGACATTGCCATGGGTCAAATCCCCACTAACACACACAAACCCCAGAATGGCGGCCACATCAAAGGGGCATCCAAAACCACCTTTGGCCCATGACACTCCCCACAAGGTTTGCGAGTAACCTTCTGATCCGAGGTCTGATCAAAGGGGTTCATTCAAAAGTCTTGGGGGAAGCTCTGGAGGCGATTCGGCGTTGTGGTTTTCAAACCCAAAAGGGACACCACCAGAAGAAAGCAATTTCATGGCTTCGAAGCAGCCAAGAAAGCAAACAGCAACCCACAAAGTTGGCCCTGGATCCCATGCAGCTGCTTCGGCACTTTCCTTTTATCCCGGCCACAAGCGCAGCGAACAGCCTGAATTGATGCGCTTCCTTCCTAGATATCTACACCAGACCTTGCGAAGATGCTGCGCCTGCCACAAAATCTGTACTTCACCTTGCGAAAGTGCTGCGCCTTCCAGGGTATCGGAACCTTCCACTTCAATGCGAGTCTCAGATCGCGCGGCGTACCTTCCCAAAGTGCTGCGCCTGTCACGAGTTCTGATGCCCGTGAGAACAAACTGCCGCGCCTGCCACGAATCCTGACCCTTTATTGGGGGGTAGAGTCTTAAGGGAAACCCGACCAAAATTTCAAAATCCCTACGCTATCATGTGCTTTCAGAACTCCTGGCTCCTTGGCTGCCTCTTCAAAGGCAGATTTCGACACTTTTAGCCCCTTAGCTCATTTCCAAGCACCAGCTATTCTAGGCAGTTCATTCCCCATTCTTTTCAACCATCGTTCTTTTCTTAAAAACCGGATCTGTTTCCCTGGGTTTTTGGATGGCTTCCTAAAAAGATTCGGATCCCTGGAAAGAATGGAAATGGAAGGTAGCCCTAGAGCTATGAGTCACACCCTTGGTCAGCTTCTGGATCCTCCAGCGGGCATGCAGGGCCCAGGCCACTGAGCATCGCTGCTCTGGCGCTGGGACCATGGCGGATGTCCTGAAACCCAGGTGCTTTGCCAATGGAAACACCGAAAACGCCCCCCCAAAAACCCGCGGTTTTTTGTGGTTTTCAAGAGAACCCCAAGGAAAGCCTGCGGATTTGCTTGCGGCTTGAAAGAAGGACCCCAAGAAAAAACGGCATTCTGTGGGGGGTCCAGCAACAACAGACAGACCCACATGTTGATTCAAGTGGGTTGCCTTCACTTTCTCACTTCCGATCGAGTGGATTGGCACCAAAAAGTCTGGACTCGGTCTTTATGGCAAAACAGATCCTCCCACAAAGTATGAAGTCCAGGAACTTGGGGAGTGAGGAAATCCCAAAAGCCTGGTGAATGGGTCTAACTTGTTCCATTGTTGCAGATCAACTGCACTTGGTTTCGTTTCAAAAGGCGTGATTTATCAATGTGCGACCCATTTTGGGGCTCTGGTTGTGTGTGTGTGTGTGTGTTTCACCTTATCGGTTTATGCAGTGTTTTGGATTTCAGCTAACCGCTCGACTCCACAAGGTTTCCATGCTGTGTTGCTTCTATGGACGCGTAAAGGGCCCCAATTTGTAGTGGCGGAAGGACACCAATAACTTAAAGAAGGGCATCATTTCCGCGATGTCTTAAAGATCGATCAAACAGTGCAGCTAGCCTTAGACGCTTTGAGGAACGTGAAGGCTTTCTGAAACTACTGACAATTGGTCCCACCTCTCCATCGAGCATGCTTGTGCGCAGCTTCAGGATGGCCAACCTGTTTGTTCAACCCAACAAGCGAAAACACCAAGCATGCCCCTTTTTTGGGGTGCATGTTTTCATTCAAATGGGAAAGGGGGCCTTTGGGCCATTTCAGAGTCTATGGCTCCAATCCGGACAAGGCACAACGGTCTTGTCGCTGGGTTTCCTTTTGGAATGAGGCACCCAACGTGCCTTTTTTTAAGGTACGAGAAAAAAACGCTCGAATTACCGATTTCTGCTCGACCCCCCAAAAAACGCTCGCCCCTCCAAAAACGCTCTACCACATCCCCTTCTTCCATCCAGAGGAAGGCGGGATTGTTACGTTTTTTTTAAATGCACTCGTTTGCGGATATGTGCGCTCGTTTTGCGGATATTTGCGCTCGTTTTGCACTTTGATTTCTGCTCGCTCCTTTTGAATATTCAGCGACCGATCATCTTGGAGGACCGACCAGCCCGTTTTTGGGAAAAACGCTCGAAGCAGGAAAAAGTGTACGTTTACCATATTTTGGTGACGACCCCTGGTTTTGCAATACGTTTGGGCTAAGGGCAGAAATTTATGTAACGAAGGGTGCTCCAGGCCTATGCAACCTGACCCCTGCGAGATCCGCTTGTTGCCTCAGCAACTGCGCCAGTTGGGATGGATGAAGCCCTGGGACAAAGCACCAATCCCAACGAGTGAAGTGGATTTTCACAGTAGGTCTTTCAGCATGTTAAAACCGGGAGTCGCATCGCCCAACCATGAAATTCGGGGTGAACATATGGGTCTGCCTCACATGCATGGCCCCCAAATCGTTGGTTGGTTTCCGCTTGTTTCCCCCTACCAAACAAAAGGGGTCCGCCATGTGAGTCATAATCAAAACTCGGTAGTAAAATGGTCGACCCAACCATGTAAAGAATTAAGCAGGCGGATATCCGCAGCTATTTCTGGTTTGGATTGTTCCTTACTAACCTTCATCTACCCGGGTTTTGATTATGACTCAATTGAAAAGTCATAACTCAGGGAGTGAGGCAACCCTTCGCCATGTTCCTTTTGTTTTTTTTTCAGGGGTGGCAAGTTAGTGGCAAGCCCTGGTTTTGAGCAAGTCATGTTGAGAAACCCCACATCTCCAAAGGAAGCCTTCCCTGTCCTTGGACGCAAAAGCGCGAGCGCCGCGCTTCGCGGCCTCAGGCCGAGGCTTGCTTTCCACTAAAATGGTCTGCCCAAAAAGTTGTTTACAGTCCACCGGCTCGGACTCCAACTCATTTGGCTGAAAAAAGCGGTACCCAAAATGGGTTGCTCTGGCAAGTGGAAACATGGACCAAAACCTGCGGTTTGCCCCAGCTCTTTAATTTTTGAGCCATACCCATTTGTAATTAGAGAGCGCCTTCTCCACCTTAATCTTGCAAGGGAGGAAATGTGGAAGAATATGGGAGAACCATTTGGGTGCGACTTTCTGTTCAGGTTTTTGTTGGGGTCGTTTTACTGGGATCGGATACATCCAAGAAAGCTTCAAACCCACTGATTTACAATTACTGGGGAATCAACAGCCCAAGCCTGTGGGCCTGTGTCTGTAGCAGGGAAAAGATCAATGGCCCTTTTATGCAACAACCAAATTAACCAGGAGCCGCCATCTATTTGCTACCAAAACAACCAAAAAGGACACCTACAGTATGCCACCCGTTTTGGAGTTGCTACCTATTTTGAGTTGTTTGTCCTTTTGCAAGGAAACCGCCAGAGTTTTCCTCGGCCCGGGTTTGATCCGCGGTGCAACTGCAAACCCATGAGTCCTGAGGGGCCCGTAGAAGAAATCGACCACCAAGCGAGTCTACCGAAGGGGTTTGCTTGATTCCCTTTGAGTTTCCATCAAAACAGGGATCCTTGCATTGTACACCAGAACATTGTCTTGTCAATGGTGGTTTCCCTTGATTTTGGTGGAAAAAGCCATGTTTCACATTGGCAAAATGTGTCTTTTGAGGAGCCCTGCTAAACCAAGGCGCAAAAAGAAAAACTCAAAAAGACTCGGACCCATGGGTTCACAATGACTAAAGTATAGTTGGGACCCCCCGAGTGCTGCCTCAAATCATTGGCCCGGCTTCTGTTTTTTTTGAGTTCAAAATGCGGTCTCAACTTTCCAGTGGAAGCCTGCAATCATCCAGGCTTGGCCTTTGTCCATCTTGGTGAAAGAATGGCACGCCGGTCGATTTGGAGAATTTCTTGAGCGATGTGGGGCCCTTTGAGTCGCAGGGTTCCAGCTAGAGTTGCCCCAAACAAGCCCCACCGAGGAACCTCAACACAGATGTGGCAAGAGCAACAATAGTCCCGACCACCAGCTTCCCTCTAATTGCTGGCTTGGATTGGTTGTAGAGGTTAGGGGTGGCTTCCCATTTGCCCTCTACAAGAACCGGAAGCTCAATCAATCCTCAAATCACCAATACAAACCACATAAATTCTGGAAGGATACTGTGGATGGACGAAATCCTGCACCACTTTGAAACGGGAAACCATTGTTTATTGTAATATGTCCAGTAGTGACACATTCCTCTAAAAGCCAACAAGGAAACATAAACCACATTCTTAAGCAAATGGACGCCCCCGAAAACGGGGTGAGAAAGGGCACCTCGCTGACGGGGACCCAGTTGAACCCATCACCAGGGTTCAGTCAGAGACGCTCTGGGCCCCTCCGGCGCCTGAGGCTCGGGTGGACAACATGGCCCTGAGCGGGTTTTTTCCAGAACCATCTCCCCCGATAGCAAAAAGGGCTGTGGTGGTCAAAACCGATGGGATCCCATTTTGGGGTAGGTGAATTCACCACCCATTCTAGTCTATGTTAGTGGGGATGGGGATGTTCACTGCAGGTACGGGATTTTGACCCATGGCCATACTGTGGATGGAAATTGCTGCACCACTTTGAAACCATGGGAAACCATTGTTTGTTGGTATTTGCAGGGGAGTCATCATTCTAGGGTTCCTTGGGTGGTGCAGGATTTCGTCCATCCACAGTATGTGGTGAAACATAGAGGCGATTCCTGGTTTACCTGGTGGTTGAATGGGCCATCTATTTGCAAAAGGGACACCTATGATGGTTGGTGGTTCCCTTTTTTCTCCGGATAATTTGAGGGTTCAGGCACCTGACGGATAGAATAAATAGGAAAGCTCATCATCGTCAAACCAATCCACCGCAACTGGGAACAAACACACTGCTCCGTGTACTGTCCAAAAAGCCGTGGTTGGGGGGGAACTCACTCGATTTCCCCTTCAAAAGTTGATCAAGTTACTGAAGGCTTCTGATCGCCACTGTTGGAGGTTCCAAAAAGGGAAATGGAGGAAACCCTGAATAAAGCAAACTAAACCTTTGAACACCCTTGAATGACTTCCTGAAGGCAAACAAATGGATGGTGACATGCGGCCATGGGTCAAAACCCCATACCCCCAGTGAACATCCCAATCCCGACTAAAATGGCCTCAAATGGACTAAAATGGGTGGCCCAAAGAAACAACGTGATCTCCTTTTGGGACCTTTGCTGAAAATGGGAACCCGAAGTTGGCAAACCACAAGGTCCATTCGCCTTGGCGCCTTGGGTGAGAGAGCTCACATTCATCCCATCGACCGCTCACGCCCGGCGCCTTGAAAAGCCAAGGCCAGGCCCTCAAAACTTGGGCCGAGAGATATCGGCCGGGCGTGACGTGAATACTTCGCTCGGCGTGTTCAAAGGCCCAAACGCTGGCCGCAGGATCCTTTGTGGAAGCCAGGCTCCACCAAGGGACAGCCGGAGCCTGACGTTCGGGACCCGGCCCTTTTACAAGGAAACTGGTCCTAACGGGGGGGGGGGGGACCCCGAAACGTTAGGTTCCATGTTAATTGGTGGGAGGGCAGCGGAAATGAGCCAAGGGGCCCTCGCAAAATAATTAAACACTAAAACACAAATGACAAAGAGCTTGCGACAAGTCTACAAGAATTGGGATCCGCTGGTGTTTTTCTGTTGCCTGTTGCAGGCCAATCACCTTGGACGACGGCCCACGAGCCTTGCTCAAGTGACTCGCCAGTGATCTCTAAACTCTCCAAACGCATGGCTGCGACAATGGACATGCCTTTGTCTGCAATACGCTGGATGCCCTAAATCAGGGCACCCCTGTTTGATTGGTTTGGATTGGTGGGCTGGAGGCTGGATGGGGTTTCCCACGCCACCAAACCATCCAAACCACCAACTTTGGGGGCAAGCTGCGAAAGTATTCAACCCCCGAACCGTGGCAAATGATGGTGCCTGGAGTCTCCATGACCCTTTAAAACCTAGGCCCATGACCCCTGTATTGGGTAATGACCAACCATTTTTTGCTAATAAAGGGATTTACTTCATTTTTGTTTGCCCCCTGTGTTGGTAATTTGGTCATGGAGACTCTAGGTACAAATTTGGCCCTTCGCCTTACCGGGCATCTGAAAATGGGAAAATCGGCCGATCCCTTCTGCCATCTTGGACCAAAGAAGGTCCAAAAGATGGGATGGTTCTCCTGTGGGGTCCCTTTAAAACCACCAGGGCTAGGTCCTCCAGTAGAGGGGTTCGAATACGGGTACCCTTTGTCTGTAGTCTATCTTAATAGAGGAACCCTCCCCCCAAAAAAGGGTAAAAGGGCACTACTGGGGGACCTAGAAGGGGAACCCAACTCACAAAAAACCCGCCACCAGAGTTTTGTTCAAACTCCCTCGCCCGGGCCACATCTAGGCGACACCCCGTGTCCGTGCCGGGTCTTTCTCCCAATGAACAAGCAAATGCGAAATAATATTCATCAGCTCCTTTTCCTTGACTGGGCAAACCCAACCACGAAATCGCAACTGGGCTGTCAGTTTTCAGATAGATCCCCTGCAAAAAAGTCAATAACTGTTAGTGGGAAGGAGGCTAGCCAGAAAGGTTATCCACCCCGTTCTGTCCTGGTGGTTTGTACACCCCGGTTTCCACCCTTCTTCCTGAAACATGTAAGCGGATTCGTGACCCGTGGTTTACTCATTTCATAAAACCAATTTGTTTAACGAAAAGGATATGGCCCAGTTTTAGTATCCATGAAGTGGCTGGCAAAAGAGAGTCTTTCTTTAAGCTCGTTGTGAACTTGTTCCTTTTGTGTGTGTCTGTGTCTGTGTCTGTGTCTGTGTGTCTGTGTGTCTGTGTGTTTGTCTGGGCGTTTATGTTGCTATGTGTTCGGTATTTTTATTTGTTTCTGCTTGTTGCCCCGTATTTTGTTTGTTTGCCTTTGGGTAAAACACCCAAGAACAGGCCCCTGCTCTTCTGACCATCAACAAATCAGGAAACCGTGGCTTCCGAACCTACCCATGTGGTTGTGTGTGTGTGTGTGTCTCTGTGTGTCTGTCTGCGTTTCTGTGGTTTTGTTGAGGCCCTTCCATTCCAGCATGTTGAATTCAGCAATTTAGAAGCCAACATCGGCATTTTGCAAGTACTCCACACCTGAAACCAAGCAGTAGAAGGAGAGGAAAAAAAATAAATAAAAAACAACTCATAATAATAATAATAAATTATTATTATTATTATTATTATTATTATTATTATTATTATTAAAAAAAAAAAAAAAAAAAAAAAACGGTGGGCGCTGCCGGGCAGTAAGATGTGTCCTGACTCCTGCGCCTCGTGCTTCAGGAAGTTCCGGTAGTTCAGCTCCGGGAAGCGCTCCATCCTCGCGTAGATCCGTCCGAGCTACGGACGGAGAACCGGCGAACAGGAGACAAGGCTCCAGAGCCCAGCGTTCCATTTGGGTGGAGTATGTCAGCCCAATTTTGGGTGGGTAGGCCAAATTTTGATGGATATAAGGCCTAGTCTTTGGGTGGAGTCCCGTATACCTGGAGTCTCCTTCTGACCCTTAAAAAATGGTTGGTCATGACCCCAAAATTTAGGGGTCATGACCCCAATTTTTTAAGGGTCATGGAGAGTCTAGGTAAGGCCTAATTTTTGGGTGGAGTATGTCCATCTGGGGTAAGTTAGCCCTCCCACAGAAGCCCAGTGACCTAAATAGTAGGTAACTCTTCGCTTCATTTTCGTTTGGGACCACACCAGGGAAATGGAATAACCCCTTGCAAGATCTGAGCCATGCCGCATGCCTACCACTTAGTGTCTAGGTCCTCCAGATTTCCAGATTTGAGAGGTTAGAATACGGGTGCCCATTTTACACAATGCATCCTTATATCAGACCTGGGGTTAGGACCTGCCATGTGCATTTCCTGCTGGTTTTATAGGAAGTCTGTTCCTGGAAGATTTTTAACCCGGGGCTTCAGAACCTGGAGCTCGGAGAGCTGGGACTTCTCAGCCGCTCGGAGTCGGAGCATTCGCCGAAAGGGTCACCCGAGTTCCCCATTGAAACGTGGGCCATTGACTGCCTGGAGTCTCCTTCTGACCCTTAAACAAAATGGCTGGTCATTACCCAAATGGTTGGTCATGGACCTATCTTTATTTCGGGTCAGACGGAGACTTCAGGTACATGTTCTTGAAAATGACCAGCAGCTGGAGATTTGTTCCGGGGGGGGGAAAGGGGGGAAACTAAAAAAAACCGAAAAGACACACTTCGGAGAAAAAAAACTAGAAAAAAAAACGGCTGAAACAAAAAAATCAGAGAAGAAAAACACTTCGAAGAAAAGAAAAGGCCTTTGGTGGTTGGGACTTCCCCAAAATGCGCTCGCTTTCGGCCTTCCCTTTTTTTTCCCCAAGAAAACTCTGGACTCGACCCGGGGAAAGGGACCACGTTCTCAGACCTCTCACGGCGCGTCGAAAAAAATCCGAGCCAGCCATCTGCCTGGAGTCTCCTTCTGAACCCGAAATAAACATGGGTCCATGACCAACCATTAATTGAGTGCGGGCGGCCCTGGAGGCCCCAGTTTTTGATGTTGTATATTTTGGGGTCATGACACCCTATGTTTTAAGGGTCAGAAGGAGACGAGCCATCCGGATGCATCTCTCTGGATCGGACGACTCAAAGAAAAGCGAGCCTCGTGTTGGAGTGGATGCGAAAATGTGCCGAAGCTTCGCAGGGATCTTCAGGAGAAAAAAAGAAAAGAACAACTAGCCCATTCACTCCAACTTGCATACTGTGCATGCCGATTTTGAAGATTGAAAGGAAGGGAAGAAAGCAAACCCTGGAACTTACCGAATCGTAGCTTACCATGGTGTGGTTGCCTTACTTGCAACATGGCAGGGGCCTTCCAGTTAAAACAAAAAACAAAACAAAAAACACGTTCTTCGGCTGCAATGCAGAAACCCACCTACTTTACTCACAGGGAACCACGCCGAATATTAGCCCGAACGGTGATGTCTGAAACACCCCAACTTGAGGGGATGTAGAGCAACTTTGATCTCGGTTGCTTTATGCTCCCCTGCTAAAAATTTAACTTTTTGTGGTCTAATGGAAAACCCATTAGTTGGCAAAAAGTGAAAGTCCTAACATCCAAGCAAAATGCGCCAAAGTGATGTGGTGTCTCCAAATGGAGGAATGGATGCTTGCCTCATGGGCAGCAGCTCCAGATGTGAGACATACCCACATGAATGCCAGTTGCTATATTGCCACAAAACCGATAGGGGCCAACTTAAAACCGCCTGGTTAGATTTTTCATGTTTGTTCGTTGCTCATGGCCGCTTACAAATGACCTTTCCTAGGACATGAAATTCGGGCGTGATTTTGGCTTGGGTCGGCCCTTTGGTGGACATCACTTGGGGAATGTACATGTCCGCCAACCACTTTAAAGGTGGTCCCCCATCTGAATGAACCCTATCCCATCTCACTTCCTGAGCTCATGGACTTTAAACTTTTTTGGGCAGACCATCTTTTGGTGGCAAAAAGTGTTGACTCTTTTTGGCCCATCCACTCGGGAACCGGCCATTCTAATGATCTTGGCCCTCATACTGTGGATGGTTGCGAAATCCATTTCGCACCACTCAATGAAACCAAGGTTGAAGCCATAACCTTTGTTGGTATTTACGTTGGGGAATCGAATCATTCTAGGGTTTCTTGGGTGGTGCGAAATGGATACCTAAGAAACCCTAGAATGATGATTCCCCTGTACATACCAACAAACAATGGTTTCGCATGGTTTCAACATGGTGCGTTGCATGGGTTTCGCAACCATCCACAGTAGTGTTGTTTTGAGGCTGAGGAGAAGGACTACAATTGGTAGTTTGGGTTGATGGTTTGGAGAAAGGGGTTAATCCAAATCCAAACCAATCCCAACCACCAATTGAGGGCGACCTGACTAGGTCCTCCAGTAGAGAGGTTAGAATAAGGGTACCCTTTTTTCTGTAGTCTATTTTAGTAGGGGAACCCTCCTCCAAAAAAAAGGGGTTAAGAAGGGGCACCGATCGCTGGGGACCTAGCTGAACAGCAGTCTTTTCTTGGCTTGGCGGGGGCATCGGGGGACTTGCTGGGTTTCCCAAGCGGAAGGTCTCACTCGCTCTCCCGTCGCTTTCGGGGCCCCGGCATCACCTGAAGCATCGCCCTGCTCCGCCGGTCCCCGTCCTGTTCTGACCCCCGCGCGAAGAGCTTGGCAAATTTGGGGACCTGCACCCTCAAAATTCAATTCCAGAAGAAGAAAAAAAACATGGCTTTTGAAACCCAACCATCTGGTTGGTGAATTCAATTCCTTCGAGTGGTTATTTTTCCCTATATTAAAGAATTCAGGCGTGAATTCCCTTCTTCATGTGTAGTTTGAGGATCCAGGTACGTGTCAAAACGGGGAGGACCTGTGGATGGACGAAATCCATTTCGCACCACGACATGAAACCACGGTTGAAACCAGAACGTTTCTTGGTATTTGAAAGTGGACTCGAATCATCCCACAAATTCTTGGTTGGTGCAGGATTTTTGTCCATCCACAGTAAGAATGGCGGGTGTTCCTTCTTGGTCTCCCTTTAAACGGTGGCGTTTTCGGGCGCCGACGCAAAGATCCACACTCCGGAACGGAGAAGTTCAATACGAGGAGTCCAGGTCCGCCCGAAGCATTTCGACCCAAAGTTTGGGCTCCGGAAATTCCACTCGCAGACACACCCTCAAGCGCCCTCAAGACTCGGGTCCCTGTAGTTGGACCACGCGCCATAGACGGCCGTGTGTTTTCGTTGATTTTTCAGCCGGCGGGGGGGGGGGGGTATGGGGTGGGGGGGGGTGATCTCGGACTCGTCCACAGCGTTCATGTTTGTCTTCAGTTTTGGTTCAAATGTACCTTTCCGAGGATGCTCGTCTTGCCTTAGGTCTCGTCCTGATCGTGCGCTGTGCTGGCTCGTCCCCTCTTTTCCGCTGCCACCCAATCCTGGATCCTATGTTTGCTTGCTGTGTGCCCTGAATACCTGGACTCTCTCTTTGACGTAATGACGCAAACCCCGCCGTGTTTGTCGCTCGTGGCGGAGATAGTCTTGCTGCCTCATCGGTTTCCACTGGCCTTTGACTCTCTTGGCCTTTGCTTGCCAGTGCTTTGGTCTGCTTATTGCTCCGTCTTGAGGCGTTCTGCGTGTTTCCGCCCTCTCGCTTAGTCTCGCTGGCGTTCTGCCTCCACGTTGTCTCGAACCGTCTGCTCGGTGCCCGGCTGCTAGCCGTTCTCCCCGCGCGTGGCCCGGCCATGGCCGCTCAACCTGACGACGCATGTGCTGGACCTTCTTCAGTTCGCCCCGCCGGGCGGTCCCGGACTCCGCCGCCAGCACATTCTCGGGAGCCTTGCCTGCCGTCCCGGACTCCGCCGGACGGATGCAGTCAGCCAGTGGAAGAAAACGTGTTGCCAGGACTGCTGCAGGGTGACACATCAGATGGTTGTCGCAAGATGGTGGTCGCATCAGTATGCAGAATTGATATATTTTGATGAATCGACAACATTTTGTGAAATCGGCAGTTAGTTTGCGGGATTCCGTGAAAGCATGTTGAAGTTGCAATTCTATTGGTGGAAGCACTGGTTTTGCGAATTCCCACTGGAATTGCAAGCACAGAGATTGAAGCAACACCGATGCATGAAAAACCATAGGAATATCAATGTTTTTGACCGCTTCGCTGCTGCGAGCATGACCAAAAACCCACGGCCATCTATAACGCGTGGACCTAGTTGTCCCTGTAGTTACCCCCAAAAGGTGTATTCAATCATCACCTTTTGCCAATTTTTTAGGATGACGTTCATCTCTAGGGGTGGGGGAAGCTTTTTATTGGGAGCCCTATAAAAGCAGGTCTCTTCGGATCTTCCTTTGTCGAACCTGGTAACGCCATGGGCGTGGCTTGCAAGGGCCATCGGGACCCACGTTGGACACCGCATGTGTCCTTACATCAGACCTAGAGTCTCCATGACCCTTTAAAAATGGTTGGTCGTTACCCTAAATACTGGGGTCCCAGACCTATTTTTCCTTCGGGTCAGAAGGAGACTCCAGGGGATCAAACTCCTCGGTAAAAATGGGCAACAACCAGGCGGAAACTGTCAGATCGCCTGCCAAAAGCTCAACTCGTGTGGGTTAAATGGAACCCCCCCCTGAACCAACTAAAAACAGCTAAAAAGCTGACGAAACGGACAGCTGGGAACCACCAAGGAAATATATAGGAAAGTCTGTCTCCCGGAAAGCGCATAAATAACCCGCGGAAAGCGCACTTGGAAGAAGGGTAAACGGGATGCAACCGAAATTGCCAGGCACTTACGTGCTGATCGCCTCAAGTAAATCCAATCAACTTTGTCTTTCACATCCATTCTCTCTCTTTAAAGGCTGGACCCCCAAAATGGATTTCGGGTTTCCTGGTCGTTTCCGTTTACAAACCAACCCACAAAGGTGACCAACTCAAAAAAAAAAACGGTCGCAAAACCATACATGGGTGTCCTGACTCTTTGGGACCAACTCCTGAGGCTGTTGCTCAGATTTCAACCGGCTACTCACAGAAACCCATGAAATTGGATGGAAGCTTAACATGGTGTCTACCTTGTGGCCGGGGTATGCCTTGATTGGTGCCAAACCGTGGCTATGACAAGCAAACGAAACGCACGTTGGGAAGAAAAACACACACATATTTTTCCAGTAGTGATTGTTCCCTTTTAAAACCAAGAGGGGCAAAAGCATTCAAAAAAAACAAAACAATATTCAAGAAACACATGGAAATGGAAGGTAACCCCAGAAACACGCAAAACCACCCAGGCCACTAACCCAGCTCGAGCAGCTCGACTCGACTCCATCCTCGCAGGCGCGGTCAGTGAGGCGGTCGGCCATCCATTGCAAGGGGTCCATGAGCGGCATCACCTCCGGCGATAGTGTCTGGAGCCTCAAGCTACTCACTTCCCGAGTGGAATGGCCAAAAAAAGTCTGAACTTGTTATTTACCACCCAAAGATGGTCTGCCCAAAAAGTTTAAGTTCATGAACTCAGGAAGTGAGGCTACCCAAAACAAGATACAAAATTATACCAACCATATATTTGTGGGTTGCAATATCAGCTACCCGTACAAAAAGAAGGGGAAATGATACAACACAAATATACCAACCATATATTGGTGGGTTGCAATACAAGCTACCCGTAAAAAAAAGGGGAATTATACCGACCTTCATTTTGTGGGTTGCGATATATCCCAGTTGTCCGAGTTGGAATTTTGAGGCTCCAGGGGATGCCGAACAAGGCGAGGAAAAAGAGAGGGGTAGCCCCAACAACCAGAAAGACACACCTGTTCGGATTTGGCCGCGGCTCAAAACTCAAGAGCTAGGGTTACGCGGTTTCAGTCTTCGGTTCCATTTACCAAGGTGCCATTTTGGTACATTTATTTGAGCCACAGCCATTTCCTGAGTTCAGCACATCTTTGGGTTTCCTCGGGTCGCGCACCAGCCTTTACAAGAATGCAGCGAATTCAAAGGATTTCTGAGCAGATCTCCGGACCACAAAGCAGAATACCGTGGATGGGCAGAATCCACTTCGCACCATTTAAGGGGCGGCATTGTACTCTCTAATTGGTTCGTAACCATGGTTTGCAATCAAAAGACGCTGAACACCACCAACCAGATACATATTGGTTTGCAATCTCCAAGTAGGAATTCCAAATGTAGCAACGGTTTGTCTTCCCTAACCACCAGAAGAGCCCTGAAACAAAAAAAACAAAAACGTGGCACCCCGCATACTTAAAGGGGCAGGGCACTTAGTAAGTGGTTAGTTAAAATACTCCTAGGTGGGCTGTTGCTAATGTTGACCCCGGATGGAGTTAAACCCCGGTTTATTGATAGGGTCCCGGTGCTATTCCCTGGTTTTAGTGGGGATTTATCACTTTTTGGGGGAACGCCCGCATATTAACAAACAGGGGTTTTATTAATCCGGGGTCAACATTAACCACTCACTGAGTACCAGATCGCCTCTTTAAGTAGGGACCGGCTTTCCGTCTGGCCGTCTCAGTCGGCTCTCAGCTCGCGCCTGGTAATCCTTCAGCTTATTCCGAAAGGGTATGATGCACCTGGTGGACGTTTCGGGCCTGGACCCTGAAAGGTACCACTCGTTGTTGTTTGCCTTTTTTATTTATTTATTTATTTTTTGAGGGGGGCTCCATCTTTTGCATTTGTTTGTTGTTTCCTCTCTTCTTCTGGGTGGGGGGGGGGGGGGGGCGGGTGGGCGTTTTTTTTGCTCCGTTTTCTGACTACTGGGTAGACTTAAACCTGCCGGGTGGTTCCCGCCCAAAAGGAGAAAGACCGCCTGGGTTTAAGTCTATCTTTGGGGTAGTCAGAAAGAGGAACCCTACTATTTGCTGGTTGGGACTCGGAACTGGGGGCATCTACATGTGCATTTGAAAGGAACTCTGGTTAGAGACATAGTAGACTACCCAATAAAAGTGGCGGGGGGGGGGGGAGTATTTCACTAAATTCTGGTTGGTGGCGTCCCTGCTTTAAGTGTAACTTGAGGGCCCAGGGAGCTGTTTGAACCATTTGGAACAACCCTCGTTAAAACATGATTCAATTCATGGTTATCACATCTTTTTTTGAGCTTCCCATTTTTGGGGGACCAGCACTCGGGCCAAGTTGTGCTTTTGGGCGCGGCGCAAACACGCTGCTGTTTGGCCAAGTAGGTCTACCACGTGTGAGCGAAACGCCGTGTCTCAACAAGAACTGTATGCTCATCCTCTCACTTCCTGAGTGGATTGGTCAACAAAGTCTGAACCTTTTTACCTACCAAATTGATCTACCCAAACAGCTTCAAGTCCAGGAAGTCAGGAAGTGAGTCCTACGTCTGTTTCCACCTTGGGTTCAAGGCATCGGGGCCCCCAAAATTGGCACGATTGGGGCGTGTCTCAAACTAGGGGGGCCCGACCAAAATCGGGTGTGCTCCTTTTGGGTTCCCTTTTGCAGCCCGAAACGGGTACTCTCAAAAAGGGGACTACAAACTTGCTGCCCTCTAACTCGGGCTGCTTTGACTCTAAGGGCTGCATGGACTAAAACCTGTGGCCCATATCCTGGTGGATTGATTTTGACCCATACCCATTTACGTGGCACCCAAGCAACCACAATTCTAGGGGTTCATTCCCCATTCTTTCCAACCATCCTTCTTTTCATGCGGCCATTTCCCTGGGTGTCAAATTAGGAGTTTTTCTAGAAAGATTCGGATCCCTGGGTTTGGAATGGAAATGGAAGGTAGCACTAGATTAACATTGGATTTCCTTTTAGATACCCAAAAAGGATGCGCTCAAGTTATGCCCGCAAAACACAGAAAGCTGCGATCCCAGCAAGTTCAGGTCATCCCTCCGGGGATAAGGTCCCCGTTTTTTTTACAGTCTTCCCCACACTGGAACAAAAGGAATTCCAGGGTCACGCCCCTCCCCCAATTGCATTTTGCAGGGGGTGGGGACGTCTGTAACAACCCTTGTGTTTCTTTTCTTCCGGGCCTGTTTGGAAGGTTTGCGGACTTTGGAGTGGCCTGGCGCGTAAACCCGGATTGCAAATAACCCCCAGCACTCCTTGCCAGGTGAGTACCAAAGGAATCCAGGTGAGGGTAAGGGTTTGGAGCCTATCTAGGTCCTCCAGCAGACGGGTTAGAATAAGGGTACCCTTTTTTCTGTAGTCTATTTTAGTAGGGGAACCCTCCCCCAAACAAATTGCAAAAGGGCACCACTTGATGACCTAGCCATGATTTTACAGGGTCTAAAACCCGAAACTCGGCACGCCCCAACCCGGCAAGAATTGCCGGACTCTTGAGGCCAAGGCATGTGTTGTGCCGTGGAGACGGCCTTCACGAGTTCCTGGCGGTCCATGGTCGAAAATCTCGACTTTGGCCAGGGGAATCCATTTCGCACCAGCTGCTCTTTATCCAGGTATTCAAACCGGGTTTCATCCCTCCCAATTGAACAGCAAGGCGATTGAATCTGAAAGCACAACCAACTGATCCCCTTCTATTGAGGCGACCAGTCGACTTCTGCTGCCGAGTGACCTACAAACATAATAAATTGGGCGTACCTAGAGTTTCCTTCTGACGGTCATGGACCTATGTTTGATTCGGGTCATGGAGACTCCAGGCACCCCAAAAGGGATTCCCCGATGTTGACTTTGCTGCTGACCCTCGCTTTGCTGTGTGTGGCAAGTAAGTGTTCAACCTCATGTCTGGGTAGCTCCGTAGCGTATGCTTGGCGTCCCTCTGAAATCAACCCAACAAGGGCGCTCAAGAAGACAGGCATGCGCACAGTTGCCCCTGGTTTGGGAGGAGAATCGGGCTGCCCCCTCATAGGAAAGCAGCGGGCTATCTTTCCCATTCTTTTCCCCTGCCCGGCCGCGATTCTCCAAAGGAAGTGGGTATAGTATTATATCTTCCAGGACCCCCGCTGTCATATGAAACCCTCAAAATACAGATTGATAAACCAATACACACCACCTAGCAACTGGTGCGAAGTGGAATTCCCACAGTAGCAATGATCAATTTGTTTGAGGCTGAAACAGCTGATTTAGGGAAAGAACAGAATGGGCAAGCAACCCCCAGAAATGTGTGTGTGTGATCCAAATAGCATTGGATTTTGATGAGTAGCCCCTGTTTCCTAGCGGCCGCCATGAAAAAAAATTCTGACAGGACCGCCAAGATGGTGCAATTCCTTTACAGAAACAAAGCATTTTTGGGGGGGCCATGATGGACAAAATCGAAAAACTGAAGGTCAAAAGGTGGGCGTTGGGTAACTGCATGTCGAAACCCCGTTTGTTTGGCCGATTGGGTCACGATTCCCTGAACAGGAATCATTTTAATGCTCATTCAGGATCCTGTAAAATCGAAGCAAACTGTGCTGTCCTCTAATCCCGCGTTAAAAGCTTGACTTAGTGGAAACTACCACGAAACCCTAAACATCTAAAAACACTTAATGGGATGGCTCGGAACCACCAAGCCAACGGGTCTTTGACCATCGCACATTTGAAATCCCAGAGGAGGCCCTTGCTCGGGGTGTTTTGCAAGTCGCCAGGCGGGCTCCCTGCTTCTTGCGGGAGAGCATCGTGGTGCGCCGGGGCAAGATGTACCTGGCGCAGGGTGTGACCTCTTTTTGCAGGGTACATAATGCCCTTGTTGGGGCAGAAACAAAAAAGCAACGTTCTTAATGATCAAAAACAACTATCATGGCCCCTTTGGTGTTGAGAGGGTTGGTGACCTGCATCGGGATATGCAATGACTGGAACAAAATCCCCGTGCTTCAGGTACCAGTAACCAGAAAAACTTGAAAACCTGGTACCAGCCATCATTCGGATGAACTTGGATCTAACCTATATAACGACGTGCCCCGGATGGGACCTGGAAGTAAAAGGTTACACTCCCGCAAACGCACCCGGAAGACCTCTGTAAATGGAACCAAGTCTTCCAAACTGGTGCTGGGAGCTTCCGTGTTAGCCTGGCCTTTTGGGTTGCCATGACTCAATTGAACCAAAAAGGGAGAACCAACATAACCAAAAGGTCATGTCAGGTCGATTCTCTTTGGGCAAGTGAGATAATGTTGATGGGCGGCCCAAGGGCTTATTGTTAACCCAGTTTATTGATCGGTGGGTGTCCGATTCGGGGCTTAGTGGGGGATCAGACCACTTTTGGAGCGGAACACCGGAACACCCCCCCCCCCTATACTCATAGGACGGGTTGATTCACCCGGGGTCAACAATAAATAGTGAATGGCACAGATCCACTTCGCAGGTGGTTTATTCCTGTCGAAGGGCTTGTATCCAGCTCAAGCGCAGGATTATCTTTCCATAGTAGCCAACAGGCAGTAGGTGCAAAAGGACCACCCTTCAAAATGTGTGAAGGAAAATGGCGAGTGGGTACTGCACTATGGATAACTGGGATCCACTGGGACATAGCAAGCTGGGTGCCGCCTTGTGCCTTTCAATAGGGAGATCAAAAAGTAAAGAAAGGCCCCTGATTTTGACGCACACCCATGTCTGGATGGCGCACATGTATCTTTGCTAGGGCGGTATGAGGTATCTTCCATGGTCAACAGACCTCACCCGTTGAAGCTGAATCAATCGCTAGTGGACATCAAATACTCATGAATTCCCTTTGTGTCGGCGCGGGGGTTCATCCTGTTCTGTGAAAGCAACTCAGCACTTGTTGCAGCCCTGATAGACAATCAAGGGGCACTTCAAAAGTATATAACCCGACAAGGGGGCGTGTCTTTTCACAGCTGCTCCTCTTTGGATCAACCTGTGTGAAATGATTGGCACACAGGCGGGCTTCTGGAATTCGGTAGTCCGTGAATCCCCAATCTAAGGAAGACATGTCCAAAACAAAGGGAGGGTGAGCCAGGGAGTGTCGGAGTCCCGGTCTGGTGGGGGGGGGGGTCCCTGGGCAAATGAATGATGCAATGAATACTGCGGATGAATACGTCACAAGGCCATCGGACAAATTGAGGTGGTCAGCAATGGTCAGAACGTGCCTGCCCCTTCCTTCACTCCTTCCGGTCACTTGGTAGACCTGGTTCCTTGTGATTCGCCGCGTCTTGTCGCGCGGTCTGCTCCTCTCTGCTGCTGTGCCAGCCTGGCTTCAGCACGCCTAGCCTCCACGAGCCCAGCCCAGCGCCAGTGAGCACTGGGCTGAAGCTGCGACAGCTCTGCACCAGCTGTGGGCTGGTTCGCAGAGGTCTGGGCCCATGGTGCCAGCCGTATACTTCAGCCAGCACGGGATGTTATGGATAGTGCTCTGAAGCTTCTCAAATTTCGGAGGGTTTTGGCTCTTCAAACTTAGACTTGGACCACACCCCTTCCTGAATTGTCCACCTAACTGACCAGTTTCGCGTATGTTTAGTCTCGTAACCCATAGACCCCTGATTTTTCGTCACCTAAGTTGGTTGTAACCGTACTATCCACTTAAGAGAAGCCGATGGCCTACTTAACTGGAGGAGTGTTCTTGCAAGGGGCAGTCCCAGGATTGCGCTCGGGGCATCGGCAACAGGGTCTCAACAACTCCCTCACAGACCTTTTGGAGAGACTTGGATGGCTGTTTGGAACGTCGAGTGACAAATTGAACACAAAACCTTATGTTGGGGAGGGGGGGAAACTGATGTTGGGATTTGTAGTAAAGGGGATGACATGAGGCACACGCAAGTATGAAAAGGAAATGGGGTTAGTCTCCAAATTCCCATGTAGTTGTTAGAATGTCGACTCTCATACCTTTCAGCCAACGTTGGGGCTTCTCAGGGACTCGAAAATGAGTTTTCTCCTGGCTTCCTAAGTAATAAAAGTGGGTCCGCCATTTTCAGGGGGTTTTCCTTTTGGGGCTGAGGAACGTGGAAACAACTGTATGGCTCAAGATGAAAAAGCTAGGGTTACGCACAGGTGTTTTGTCTTTCATGCAGTAGCCACATAGCTGGAACCCAGACTTTGAGACCCTAATGTGGGTGGACAAAACCCTGCACCGCTTTGAAGCTATGGGAAATACTTGTTTGTTTGTATCTTTACAGGAAGAATCAAATCATTGCGTTGGGTTACTCGGGTGGTTCGAAATGGACTTCGTCCATCCACAGTAAGAATGGCGGGCTTTCCTTTTGGTCTCCCTTTAACAGGTGGTTTAGGGATGCCGACTCATCTTTGTTCCGCCCGAATGCATTTTGTTCAGCCACAGCCATCTACCTAGAGTCTCCATGACCCTTAAAACCTTGTTATTCAAATCCCAAATAGGGGTCATGGACCAAATTTGTGTATGGGTCAGAAGGAGACTCCAGCCATATATGTGTTTTGTGTTTTGATTTTTTTCTTTCGAGAACCTATGGTTCTTCGGGTGCCGACTCATCTTTGTGTTTCCGCCAAATGCCTTTTTTGGTTCCGCCACAGCCCATCAAGCTGGAGTCTCCTTCTGACCGTTTAATCAAAAATTGGTCCATGACTGACCCCATTATTTAGGTTGATGACCAACCATTTCTTGAGGCTTGTGGAGACTCCAGGTAGCTGGAACCCTTTTTTTACCAACCATTTTTTTAGACTCCAGGTAGCTGGAACCCGGATTGCTTAAAAAAAAAAAAAAAACTTTTTCCGAGAACCTTCGGTCGGGGACCCGTTGTCGGCCAGGAAGTGCTGCATGATGTCCAGGTCGCGGAAGGTGATCCTTTCGTTGGCCAGCCGCACCTGGGCCGTGGGGGTGGGGCTAAGGGGGGGGGGTCGGCCAATGGAAAGGGGGTTCTGGACTTGTGATTGGCTCAAGGACCCAACAAATTGCGGGTTTCCCTTTGCGCAAAGGGTCCAAGTAGATTCTGAGGAGGCACTGAACGACCCCTTTTTACCCCCTAAAAGCCATCCTCATGAGGTACCAAGGGAGACCTGTGTTTCGTGGTTTAAAGAGAAGCCAAAGAGAACATCTCACCATTTTGGGGAGGTCCCCTAAAAACAGCATAGAAGCGCTGGTGGAAAATGCCCACCAATCTGCGCCTCGTCTCCGATTCTCCCTCTCCATTTCGGCAGTTCCTGTGGTGTCACTTGGTTGCTGTTGACCCCTCTCCGCAAAAAGTTGTGTTTTTTGTGGGTATGGAAAATCCGACCGGTTTCCCAAAAAGTGAAAGTCGAAAGATCCATTACCACATCGAGGTTTTTCAGTGGAGAGGTTAGAATAAGGGTACCCTTTTGGCTCGTGACGCACGAATGTCTGTCGTGCGTGGGTCGTAGGGCATGCCGCCCTACTACCGGTGAAAAGTGGGGCAGGAGCCCCGCACACAGACCCCCAGGAGAGACTCAACTGGGGGTGTGAAACCGCAGGAGTGGAAAGGGGGTGGGACCCCCTGTCCACTGGTGGACACATCTCGAAGTCGAGGCCCGGCCCACCAGCCACCCCCGGAAGGGGTGCCTGGGGAGCGGGGCGTGCACAAAGTTCCGGAAAAGCTGACTTGTAGGCCGGGGTCACGAAGAGGCCCCAGCACGCGAAGCGTAGGGCAGGAAGCCCCCATCACGCAACAGCGCCCAGCGAGAATTCCCAGTCTCTGGGTACTCTGCCGAGGCGGGAGGCCCGGAGTAGGACCCGCTGAAGCCACTTGTGCTCCGCATCGGTGCGCTGGAGGTAGACCTCAGGCCAAGCGCCACGCGGCCAGGTGACCCCAGCATAGCGGCCCAGCCGCGGCTCCCAACCGCGGGGGAAGGCATCCGGGTTGCGCCGGGTGATGCACTTCCTCACGGCCTTGAAGTGCACCAAGAGGCCACGGGCAGTGGCCGCACCGCCAGCATACCTGACAATGCCCGGGCTGCGCCGCCAAAAGAGCAGTGCAGCCTCCAAACCAGGCTGGAAGTCCCCGAGCGATCCACATCGCGGAGCTCAAGGCCTTGTTCCAGGCCCACCACTGCAGCGAACCATGGGTCCAGTCCCGGCTTGGTGAGGAGCGTCCCCACTTGCAGCACAGGCGAGCCATGGCAAGGCTCATTCTCTACACCTAACCCTAGGGCAACGGGGGCCTCAGGGGGGGGCACCACGGGATCAGGGGGCTCCGGGGGCGGAGGAGGAACAGGGGTGGCCGCCAAGACAAGGAAAAGCTGCTGGAGCCAGCGATGGCGCCTGTAGGCGGAGAAGAACAGGGCAGACATGCGAGAGACAGGCAGGGCAAGGGAAGCGCGGGCAGCGCGCTTAGCAGCACGGTCAGCCGCATGATTACAACGCGCATGCAGGAGCTCAACCGAGCCAGGGCACTGGTTGAGGGGCAGATGGCCCCGAATCCAGTGGAGGGTCAGAGTAAACCCGGAGGCGGCAAGCAGACTGACCAAGTCCCAGAGGGGCAACCAAAGGTCAGCCGCTGCAGCATTGGGAGGGACGCACCCCCTCAAGTGAAAACCCTGCCAAGCACTGACGGCGGCTTGGGAGTCGGTGTGAACCGTGAGCCGACCGCGAGCAAGCTGGGCGGCATGCAGGATAGCGTAGACCTCAGCACGGTAGTTGTCCGCCAGGGGGCCCGGGACAGGTCCGGAAGCACACACGCCAGCAGAGGCACTCACAACAGCAAAGCCGGCAGCAGCGAAGAGTAAGTGGTGGGGCAAGTAGACACTGCCATCAGTCCACAGCTGGACATCCCCACCACCGTACCTAGGTAGCGGGGTGGTAGAAGGCCAGGGGACTGCCCGGAGGGCGGCGTGAGCAAGGTCCGCAGGGATTTCAGCCAGGGCATGAGTGTAGAAAGAAGGGCCCTGGTCCTCACGCTGGGCAGGTGGCGAGCCGATGCGAGCATGGAGAGCACCGCACTGCACAAGGTGTGCAAGCGTCTCATCAGCACCATCACAGAAGCGACAGCCAGGAGACGCAGCCAGGTTGGAGGCATATAGCCGATCCGCAGTGGCTGCAGAGCCGACAACCACAGCAGGGGCCACCGCACGGTTGGAAGGGAAAGCCCGGACAAAGGAGCTCCAACCTGGGCCAGGCGGGACAAGCCACGGAGATCGAGTGAGTGCAACATCAAGGAGGCCGGACGGCCCCGAGACGATATCTGCACGCTTGCCACGGCAGGCACGCTGGTAAGCATGCTGCGCAATGGTCCACTGCAGAAGCCTTGCCAGGGAGCGAAGGGAGACACTGAAGAGGGACATCCATGGTCCCGAAGCAAGGGCAACGTCTGCAGGCGCCCGAAAGCGCAAGCCGCACAGAGTGACCGCGGCAATCACATTGGAAACCAGCGTGGAAGGCATAATCCTGGGATTGGTAAAGGCTATGCGCCACTGGATGGCGAACTTCTCCGAGCGCTGGAGGTGGGAGGCCACATTGAGTACGGCGCGGTACGCCATGGCGTACTCAGGGTGTACCAGATGACCCCGATGGACGACCGCAAGGAGCAACTCACGGGAACGCCAGCCAGGTCGACCATCCCACAGGACCCCAGCGACCTCAGTGGCCAAGGAGGACAGGAGCGCACGGGGGACAAAATTGAGTTCCGCAGAGTAGGTAAGCATGGGCATGGCCTTGCGAGCAACAAAGGTGGCTTTGGCAAAGGGGGAGAGGGGCAACACCCGGATGGCCCTGAGGGCAGCTCGGAACCGAGCAACAGCAGGAGCCCGGGCATCCTTAGTGCCACGCAAGTCCAAGTTGATGCATACGCCGAGTGGCCGCAGAGAGCGCAGGCGCGGTGCACCGGGGAGGGCAGCCTGGAGCTGCGAAGCCGGTGACTCATGAGTAGTCCACCAACCAGACTTGTGGAGGTTGAAAAGCTGGCCCAGGCCGTCAAAAAGGGACGTAGCCCGGACGGCCTCCACCAGGGAGGGGATGGCATCAGGCGAGGAGACAGACATGTAGCCGTCATCAACATAAACTCGGGGTTCAACCCCCGGGAAGTGCCGGATGAGAAGGGCCCAAGCCGCCATCAAGACGTTCGCAGCCAGGACCGAGAGAGAACAGCCCTGAGCAATGCCATTGCAGTTGGCCAAGGGGGTAGGGTGGATGGCTCCCCGCCAGGAGAGATAGCGCCTGAAGTCGCAGTAGTTGGAGCGCCACGCATTGGCCACAGAGGCTGGGAAGCCCAAGGCCACAAGGAGAGCAACAGTGTGGCTGGGGAGCAAGCGGTCGAAGCACTTGGAGCGGTCGATCTGGATGCCTGCAAAGACCTCATTGGTCGCCTTGGCCTCATGAAGGTCAAGTGCCAGGTGGTGGGTGATGTCATCCACCCGGCGACCACTGACACCGCCACAGACTTCAGCGGGGAGCACAAGACGTTGCCACGCAGAAGAAGCACGGAACCTGGCCGAGGACCATGCAAGGTAAGAGATAGGAAGGACAGCGATGAGTCGCTTGGATAGGGGGCTGGGGCCCGCTCCTTTGTCAAGCACCGCCAGTCTGGCCGTGCCAAAGATACGGGGCATAGCCCACAAACCCGCCTCAACCTTGTTGAAAAGCGTGGCAAGGACCTGCAGCACCTGAAGCGGGAGAGCCTGGAGCTCCCGCGCGGACCAACCGTCAAGGCCAGCAGAGGAGTCAACACTCCGAGCACAGATGGAGCGAGCCAGATCCTCCGGCGTGACTGCCGGAAGGTCAAGGGGCGTAGCCCGTTGCTCGAGCAGGTGTTGAATAGGCCTCATGAGCGGCTCGACCGGAATACCTTCAGCGTGGACAGCAAAGACAGTGTTCCACTGCTGGGCGGCATGCTCAAGTGCATCCGCAGGATGGTAGGCAGGCAGGCCATCCTGCCCGGCAAGGAGATTGGGAGAGGACGTGGTTGCCGTGTTGGAACACAGCCTTCCCAGTATGCAGGGCGGAGTGCCGGAGGCGCTCCTTCCACCTGTGGTAGGAGCCTTTGACGAGTGACTGCCTGGAGCCGGCGCTCAATTCTCTCACAGAGGTGGGCAGTGCCGCCAGGTGTGAGATCCTCAGATGTCAGAGGAAATCGAAGGTCGCGCGCAAGCCGGCGGAACCGCCGGATGGTGGCACACGTGACAGCCGCATCAGGCACAGTAGTGACCGGCAGACGAGCCAGGCGGTAAAAGAGCTCCCGCGCAAGAGACAGGAGACGTGTGTGAAGAGTGATGGGGTGCGAAGGGGGCAGGGCCGACTCGGGGGAGCGCTTGGGCCGGACAGGGGGTAGGGTTCCACGAGTGCGGATCCCCCTGCCCCACTTGGCCCCAGAGTCAACCAGCACACGTAACGCAAAGTCAGAGAAGAGGGCCCAGGCCTGCTCCGAGCTGCTGGCCTCTGTGAGATCGTGACTGTAGCTGTGCTGCCACAGGTCCTCCGCGCATTGAGCTATCTGGGCAGGAGAAGCCAGGGAGGTCAAGTCCAAAGGGGCAAAGGACGCAAAGGCGACAGCACGTGGAGAAAGTAAGAGAGACCGAGGCGTGCTGGTAGCCACAGAGCGGAGTAACGCAGGCCTGCTCCAAGAGATGGAGCGCATGCTCACTGAGAAACACCGTATCAATAGCGGTGGTAGGGACCTCAGGGGTCCAGTGCTTATCACGGCAGAAGGTAGGGGCACGGGTGCCATCACAGTCCAGAGGGGCTAAAGGGTCGACCCAAACCCCCGTGCTGCAAGCGTCCGCAAGCGAAGCGTAGGACAGAGGGTCCGCTTGGAAATCGCCGGCGAAAACAACGGGAAAGTCCTGGACAAACTGGGCAGCAAAGTCCAGTATCCTGGTGAGAAGCTCATCATTGTGCTGGTGGGTGGGCTCATCAGAGGAGGCCCCAGACACACCGTAGAAGTTGATGAGGAGAAAGCGGAGCCTCCCAAAGACGGCCCACGAAGCCTGAACCCGCCCAGTAGCCAGCAAAGAGCCGAGGTGGCCAGTGACGTCCTTCGAGACATCGAAGTCGTAAACAACGCACGCCTGAGAAAGGACAGCGAGGCCTCCCCGCTCCACTCTTCGGACACCATTGACGTCCGCCGTGATGGGCAGGAGGGGACCAGGGGTAAGCTGGCGGTTGGCCTCATGGGCCCGAAAACGGGCAGTGCGAATGTTGTCCGCCGAAAGGCGGGCCTCCTGCATCAGAAGAACATCGACAGGACGGTCAAGCAAATCCGGGTGCGCCAAGAAAGAACCAACATTGTGCGAATGAAATGTGAGAGGCCCTTCGCCAGGGAAGCCAAGAGTGGCGTCAAAGCAAAACTGAGTAAAAAGGGTGGGAGCTGCCCAGCTGGGGAGCGGAAGACAGCACCCACAGCACAGAGAGACCAGATGGACAGTGCGGCCCCACCGCAAGTGCCCACAAGCATCGACACTGCTGCACCACAGCACAAAAAACCAAAGGGGGGAAAGACCACACAGGGCCCCGTAGCCATGGCGAAACCATGGGGCATAAGGGCAAAGGAGGAAAGCTCCCCTTTGGGAGGACCAAGTGCACAGGCCCCCCGGGCAGGGGGGGGGCTGTGAAGAACCAACGGGGCCGCAGGGGCCCCAAAGCAGGGTCAGGCTAGGCGCCCAGTCGGGCGGCCTTGAAGGCCGGGGCCGGCTCAGGGGAACAGGCACGGCCGGGCTTGGAGACAGCTCCCAGGATGCGGGAGAGCTGAGCAGAGACCTGCGAGAACTGGGTCTCAACCTTATCAGCAAGGGAGTCCTGCTTGGCTTCCAAACCGCCAAGTCGCGCCTCAAGGGCATCAACGCGTGCCTGAATAGGCCCCGCCGAAGGGGTCTCAGCCTTCGGTGGTCCTGAGGTGGCACCCGAGGTCTGGGTGTCAGCAAGGGCAATGCGGCTTGGGCGTTGCCGTGGTCCAGAAGGCAGGAGGCAGGTGGCTCCAAGGCAAGGAGTACCTCACAGGGACGGCCCGCAGAGAGCAGGGGGAACTCCAACAAGGGCGGATCCTGTCCGAAAGCAAGGACCCAGACCAAGATGCCGTTCCTCCGAAAAGAACGGAGGGGTATGCAGGGGGCCCCGACAGCCTTGAGGACAGCCTCCGAGATGGCACCAGGCGTGGCCCCAAAGGGCAGACCCTCGGCGAGGTAGTTAACTTTAGGGACCAAGGCTCGGTTGGCCTCACAGAAACGGGGGTCATCCTGCAGGAGGGCCCGACGGGCAGCCGCAAGGTGAGCGTTGAGGATGCGTACAACCAGGCCACGCTTCAGAGAGCCTCAGACATGCAAGTCGAAGCCGGAGTGGGACTTTCAGGGTGATCTGAAAGACTCGGCCAAGACCATGCGGAGAGCCCTGCAGGATTCTGAGGGCGTAGCAGGACTGCAACGCACCCTCAGGGAGAAAACCTTCAAGCAGGCCGCGAAGGTCCGACATAGAGCGCCCGACATAAGCCGGGAAGTCGGCGGCAAGTTTCTCGAAGACCTCAACGACAAGCTCAACGAAATCATCAGTGTCGATGATGACCGCATCAGCAGTGGCCGGCCGGTAGACGATGCCAGGAATGAGATGGACAAGCAGGACCTGGCGCTTGTAAGTGGTCCCGGCCTGAGCATCCAGAACACTGATTTGCATGGGCCCTTCGACCGCAAGGTGGGAAGGCAGGGAAGGCAGAGTGGTTCTAGAATTGCCAGGAACGATAAGGGCAGTGGGGCCAACAACCTGCAAGCGAAGGCTTTCAGCGAGGACACTGACGGGGCAGAAGGCCAGGCCAGAAACCAGAGGTTCAAGTTGGCCTCTGGGGACCAAAGCTGGGACATCATCATCTCCAACAAGCCCAAAGGCATGGGAGGGGGGGAGCGAAAGGTCCTCCCATTTGGCATGGGGTCGGGGTTCCTGACGAGTGGAGAACCGCATAGGGCCAGGGAGGCCCGGGGGAGAGGCCCACGGATCGCATCGAGCCAAAGGGTCCTCAGGGACCATCTCTTCATCCTCAGAAGGGGGCTCAGAAAGCGCAGGAGAGCGTGAGCCCGCTCCGCCTCCAGGCAAAGGAAACAGGCGGAGGGTGACATGGGCGTCCTGCCAGCGGCTGACCGGGTCTGTGTCGGGAACGCCACGTCCCTGGATGTAGGGTCGCACATGCATGAGAAGGCGGTCGGGCAGGGGGAGTGTCCAAATGACTTGCCGAAGAGTAACGTGTTGGAGTAGGCTGTGGTTCCAACTCCTCAGGCTCCTGCGCCGGGACCACGGTGAGAATGTGGCCCGTGAGGTCATGGGCAGGCTCGCGAAGATCCCAGACTCTGGCAAAGGAAGAGAGAGCAACATGAGGGAAGACCACAGGTGGCACGCGAGCAGTGAAGAGGACAAGAGCGACAGTGGCACCAACAGGATACGTAACTTCGACCCGAAAACCGCCCGGTGAGTAGATGGCGGTGCGGGCAATGCCCAAGCGGTAGGCAAAGTAGAGGAGGGGGTAAGCCTCCTCCCGGACCACAATGGGCGGACCCTGGAGGTTAGCCCTTTGAGCAACCTGTGGATGGAGGGCGAAGTCCAGCAGGGGCCCCAGCGGGCCGATGTAGTACCAACCCCTGACTAGGGCAGCATGGAGATGTGGTCCCCACATGCGACTCCTCCAAACCTGCAGCACAAGGGGTTCGGGCTCATGCGGCACGAGCCCAAAAAGGCTCAGCATGATGGCCCAAGGGATGGCAGCTTGAGGGACCGAAATCGAGTTGCCAAGACCAGCAAACACATCCTCCAAGGGTGGGAGTACAAGGGGGCGAGTGGCACCCAGCCATAATGCCCACTGGGCAGGTGAGAGGAAGGCAAGCCGCTCATCAAGGTAAGTGAGCTGGGCAAAAAGCCCTCGGTCGGCAAGTGTGTCCGCAGCCAGCAGATGCTGTTGGCTGTACCTGGCACAAAGGGTACGCAGAGGAGCGTCGGGAGAGGGGATGCGACTCAGGAGGACATCACGCGAGCTCTCAAGTCCCGCCCCTGCAAGGTATGCAGGATTGGTGTAGTACGGCAGGGTGGCGGCATCAAGGAGACGCGCGTGGTCGATCTCAGGGGCTTCCTGAACCTGGAAGGACTCATGCGTCCAAGGGACCGGAGAGGGGTCCTGGAAGAGCCCAACAGGCTGGGAGGGCGGCACCTCCACGTCATGCCGGATCAACACAGCAAGCCATCGGCGACGAGTGCAGGGACCGAAAACAGCATGGTTATGGAGCATGGTGGTATGCACAGTGAATCCAGCCCATCGGATGAAGGCCAGGATGATGGGGTAGTGAGGGTGAACAGGGAGAGCATCCACACACTCCATCAACAGTGCCAAAGGAGCGGCACGCCGGGCCCACAACATGGTCTCCAGGAAACAAACACCAGCGGGGACCTCCAGACCATCCAGTGAGGAGGCACGAGACCAAGGGGGACACGGGGGAGAGGCAGTGGCCACGTGGCATCCAGTCCAGGACACAACATGGAGGAGCGACGTGTCACCAACGTCGGCCAGGACCGCCACATGCGCAGGGGTGGGAACCCAGCTAGACATCCGTTGCAACTGCACAGCCTCAATGTCCAAGGTGGCCGCCTGGGCTGAAACCACGATCGGGGAGTTGTCCACCAGGACCTCATGGGCGACCTCAAGACCAAGGGACCTGCAAATGCATTCCAGGGCCTGACCCCAACCATGGAAGGCGCCAGCAAAGAGATGGGTGACCGAGAGCGGTTCAGCCGGCACAGGGTCCCCGATCCTCCATACGGCCGCATCCTCCTCAACCCGTGCCACACGGGGGATGGTGCCAGGTTGAAGGGTGACCCCAGGCACGAAAGTGCTGCTCACCCGGCTGCAGCAAGGCCTGAAAGAAGCTAGGAGCCCGGAGCTCAAACGTGAAAAGAAGGCGCCGAGCACGTGGGGTAGCATGCAAATCAGGCGGCAGGCCGGGAGAGAAGAGGGAACACTCCCAGGTGGAATCGCCAGTTTGGGCATCAACCCGGAACTGAATCAGGGCCTGCCCATGCCACATGAGAGGCTCGGCACTCTGGAAGAAGGTGCCCTGCTCGATCAGGCCATCGAGGGAGCCAAGGGCGCGGTCCGACAAGGAGCCCAGAGCACGCAAGACAAGAGGGTCACGCGTCAACATGGCAGGAGCCAACAGCCACACCGCAAAAGCCCAAGCACGCACAAGAGCCAGGAAGGCAAAGGGCAGGGGCAGCGGGGTGGCGGCCACAGGAGCAGAGGCGGGGCGGCGGAGATGGGTATCCACCTTAGTAGACGCGTGACGCTCCAGGGAGGAGTCGCCACGCCCCGGGTGCCCAGAACCCTGAGGCGAAAGACCTTGGAGCCAGACGCCTATAAGGGTACCCTTTTCTCTGTAGTCCATTTTAGTAGGGGAACCCTCCCCCCTAAGAAGGGTAAAAGGGCACTAATGAAATCCTGGCACATAGCCAGGGCACTACTGGGGGACCTGGCACATAGCCACAAAGAAGGGGTACCCGAGCCTCTCCTCCCCGTCCCGCCTGTAGCGGTGTGGGCTCCCAGAACTTGTCCGGCAGACGGAAGGGCTTCGGGGGCTCGTCCGGCATCTGACGCGCGGCGGCTCACGTCGGATCGAGTGGGGACGGGCCAAGATCCTAGGTAACTTCCGTTTCCATTCCAAACCAAGGGATCCGAATCTTTCTAGAAAACCACCCAAAACCCTGGTTGGAAATGGCAATCGGTCTTTGAAAAGAACGATGGCTGAAAGGAATGGGGATCAGCCCCTAGAAAAATGGAAGGTCTCCATGGTGCTCACTTCTGATCGAGTGGGGACTGGCCCACGAAAAGAAGTCGAAACTGGTGGTCTGCCACCAAAGTGGCTTTCCGAAAAGTCAATAGAGTCCAGCAACTCGGGAAGTGAGTGTTTGATGGGATCAAAAGGATCAATCAGAAGGGAGTTACAGCCTCGAAAAATCAGACAGCCCAGGCTTGTTGGCGGACTTCCCCCAAGAAACGCCTAATACAAGGTGATTCCATTAATTAGAACGTGGCTGTGGGATGCTTGAAGACAACATTTGGCAGGGGCAAACTATTATAATAACTGTCTTCTTTTAGGGATTACCGTTTTTGTGGTGTTCAAGGGAACTCGAAAGGAACACCGAAGCCATTCACCTGAACAAAGGCACGACAAATGGCCCCCAAGGAAACCGAAGAATCCTTCGCCCGAATCGAATCCTTGTCTCGAAGGTCTCACCTGGCGCTTGTGGTAGTTCCGGTAGGCCGCGCTGTAGGGATTGTAGAGGCGAGTCATCCTCGAAACGGGACCACTAGCGACTCTGAGATTTTCAGGTTCTCCAAATCGCACTGATACAATATGGGACCCGGGAAAAGAAAAAAAGCACCTTCCAGGACCCTTAGGGATTATCTGATTCTACCCCAGAACATGAATTTATTGTTGGAGACCCCAGGAAAGAACTTGTGGTTTGTATCAAAAAGCAGTTCAGCTGCTCTTTGCTTCAAGTGTTAACTTTTGTATTGTGTTGGAACAACTGATGGTTTGATCGATTCAGAGGTGGCATCCCATTTAATCGGAAATTCTTCACTTTGGGGAACCCCCCCCCTTCCAAATCCACCAGGTTGATCACTCCGGGTTCGACATGACCTGGTCTTTCGACTGTGAATGGATTAAATCCCCTAAGAAACCCTGAAATGATGATTCCCCGGTAAATAGCAACAAACAAATGTTGCAAGTTTCCCATGCTCACTTCTGAGTGGATGGGCCAGAAAAAGTCTAAACTTTCAATTTACCACTAAAATGATGCTCCAAAAAAGTTTAAAGTCCAGGAACGGGAGGGAGTAAACTGTCCCAAAGTGGTGCGAACGGATTTCGCCAATCCACAGTATGACTTCCAACCACTCTCCCCACGAACACAGGTTTGCATCCGTGCAAAGTCCTGGTCCAGAAGGTCTGACCGTCAACTGTATTCCAGGCCCCGAGTGGATGTCCGTGGGGAGAAAAAAAAGAGAGAGAAACGGGGGGGGGCTCTTTTTTTGGTTTAGCCCAGAGGGTCCCTTGGTACTTGAGGATGGCCTAAAAGGGGGTAAAAAGGGGTCGTTCAGTACCCCGTCAGGTACCAAGGGAGCCTTTGGGTCGGGGTTTTGAGAGGGAAAGGCCACTTGGAGCGCTTAGGTGGAGTTTCCCAGTCCCCTTCATGAAGGATGCACGAAATGGATTCCACAAAACCGCCCTTTCAGGTCAAGGTCAGGTGGTGCCCAATAAAAGGAATCTGGACTGCAAGTCCTGGTCATGTAACAGGATCCACCCCATCTCCAATTGCCCCCAGCCCCCGGCTTCGTGCAAAGGCCACACTTAATCAGCCTTACATCTTGGCTGTCCTCAGATCCCCTCACGTTTAGTGCATCAAATAGACGCCCAATTGGATGGCTGGGAACCACCAACGCCAGGGCAAGGAGTTGTCGACTTGGGGGGTGTGGAAGATGGAAAGGGCTGGCTGGGCGCGTCCCCAGCATTTAGCTGCTCAATTACTTCGGTCCTGTGGATGCACGAAATCCATTTCGCACCAGCTGCTCCTTATCCAGGTATTCAAATCGGGTTTCATCCCTCCCACTTGAACTGCAAGGCGTCTGAATCTGAAAGCACAACCAACTGATTCCCTTCTATTGAGGCGACCCATCGACTTCTGCCGAGTGACCTACAAACATAATAAATTGGGCGTACCTAGAGTCTCCATGACCCTTCAAAAATGGGTCATTACCCTAAATGATGGGCGTCATGGAGACTCCAGGTACTCGAATCTTCATTGAACTAGTCGACCAGGACATGTCGATCCCTTCTAGGTCGTTGTTGTTGGGAAAAATGTTACATTTTTGCTTATTCTGGTTCTGTGGGAAATCCCCACTGAGCTGCTATCTTTTTTTTGCTCCCCTTCCAGCGTCAACCAAGGTTTGGGGGGGGAGTTCCCTAAAAATGACCACCCACATAGACTGGCTTCTGGTCAAGGCCTTTCTGACCCAGTTTTTCTCCTGAAAGGCAAGCTTCAGGACAACCAACAGTTGGCAACAAGGTCAAGCGCTTAAGTCTGGCAAGGCTTTCCGAAATCTCGAAGGTCAACGAATGGCTGCGGGTCCCAACTAGGTACCCAAAATGGAACCCTAGTAAAGGGAACCAAGGACTAAACCCTGCAGTCCATACCCTGGTGCTTGAATTTGACCCATACTCAAATGATTCTTTGCGGTGCAAGCAGCGACGCACGAAGCCTCGAAGCGGAAACCGCTTCTTTCCCTGTCCTAGCCAAGCTCCGCTTGATCTGAATCCGGGTCTGACGGGGCACCCCGCCGATTCAGTGTGCCCATAGAGGTTTGTTTTAAGGAAAGCTTGGTTGCTGTTGAGCCCCTGCAAAAAGTTTAACTTTTTGGGGGTTTGGTGGGAAACCCCGTGATTTCCCAAAAAGTTAAAGTCTGAAGATCCAACCCAATAGCAGTCAAGAAAGCATTCGGCTCCCTACCTCAGCATTCGGCGCAACAAGAAAGACATGCTGGATTTGCGGCCCATAGTCCCAGAAAATCCCCTGGTACCTTCTGAGGAGGTACTTCCCCTTTTTACCCCCCAAAAGCAATTCTCATGAGGTACCAAAAAAACCCTCTGGGAGTGAACCTTTTGGCACCATCGGATTCTTCCAGTTCCCCCCCCAGCCGGAGCCCGGCGAAGGTCCAAATCATTTCATCTCCAAGGAAGCGGCCGATCGACCATATATATGGGTGTCTTTCAGGATCCCCCTTGGTGATTGGTGGTCAGGAGAAACCAACAGGAAAACAACTTAGAGTCTCCTTCTGACCCTTTAATCAAAAATAGGTCCATGACCAACCATTATTTAGGGTAATAACTTAGTAATAACCAACCAAATTTAAAGGGTCATGGAGACTCCAGGTGTCAATACCCAGAAGCTTGCGAACCCAAGTTGGTTAGCTTGTGCTTGACAAGGGCCACTGAATTCCCCCTGAAGTTGAAATGTGGGTTCCATTGAAACGATCGCCACTTTTGGAGGTTCCAAAAAGGGAAATGTAGGAAACCCTGTTTGAGTTGTTTTTTCTCGGAATTTGTCGCCTCAAGAGCGTTTGTTTGGGGGAACAACAGCCCCTTACAGCCTTTGACCATCCCGCTTATCACATCCCTAGTTCACATAACATGCATTAACTGTTTGCCCCGGAAAGCAGTGTCCCCTTGCCACTAAAATGATCTGCCCAAAACGTTAAAGTCCATGAACACAGGGAATGAGATACGGCTTCTGTGGATGTTGATGGAAAGGTATTTTGTGGAGGCAGGGGTTTCCCGACGCCAGCATGCCGCGTGCCGACGTTTGAAGGAATACCGATGATGTTGTTTTGCAGTTGAACGTTTAAGCAAAACTGTTTGGTTGGGTTGAAGGACCACTTCAACCCAAACTGGTAAGTAATTATTTCGGGAGGGGTTCAATGGGACACTCTTGTGCGGATTTGATGGGAACACACATATATACACACGGCTGAACCAGAAATGCCCAAACCATGAACCATAAACCATGCCAACAAGAACAGCATTCGCTCAAAGCTTGACACAGACTGAGCATCCTCGAGTCGTGGGGACGGCCATCCCAAAGCGGCGCGCGCGCCGCTCTTTTTCCTCGTTTTTCCTTCAAGCACTTGGGGGTCCTTTTGCGGCACTTCTTGTCCAGGTCCAACCTGGGCGATGGACAAATCTGAGTCTTCCGAGTCTTCCGAACCACATTTCTACCGTAGAGCAAAAAAGTGGCTTACCACAAAAACAAAGCCCCATATGAAAAAGAACATCATTGGATCCTTCAGGTAACAAGAGACCCTTTGTTCAAGAGCATGTTCCCCTGAGAGGGAGCCGTGTTTCACCTTCTACCCAAAGGGTCCAAGTACCTTCTGAGGTACTACTCTTGATTTGGTTTCAGTGTCGAGGCCCGTGGAAGGGACTTTCCGGAACTTTCTGTTCTCCCCGCTTTCCAAGCCACGAATTTGTGGGCGCGAATCAACCAAAGACACGAAATATATCTCACTGGACTTCCCCAAACCAAAAGTTGATCAAATGAGAGCCAAAAGGCTCCAGCGTCCCTTGTGAAAAAACAAATAAACTAAATTCCTCACTTGCTCTCTCCTGATGGGCGATTGCCAGTCAACAAGCGCTCAACAAGTTGTGCACTTTTCGAGAGTACCCTTTTTGGATTTGATTGGCTTAAAAGGGAAACCACAAATCCATTTTCGAGGTGCACTTTTTTGTGACGCATACCCAATGGTAAATAGTAGCTTTGAGAGTTGAACATGATCACCTTAGCTCCATTTGCTGATGGCCCCTGGTAAACATAGGAGCATACGTCCAGTAGTGAAATTAATACCCTTTCAAACCAACAGGGGACCAAACAAAATATAATTCCTACTCCCGAGCTTCATGAACCCGAAAACCCACGGATTTGTAGAGGGACCCCATGTGGGTGTGTCTTTTTTTAGGGACTCCGACAGCCCAAAAGGCCGCAACGGTTCTCCTTTGGTTTCCCTTTCTCAGAGGGTCCCTTGGTACCTCATGAGGATGGCCTAAAAGGGGGGTAAAAAGGGGTCGTTCAGCACCTCCTCAGAAGGTATCAAGGAACCCTTTAAGGTCTGACACCAACTCCCAAAAATTGGTCATCGAAAAAAAAAATCGAGAGTCCGAGCTGCCCAGTTGGGTCGCGTTCTTCCGTTTTTTTCGGGGGCAAAAAAATCGATTCGAGTCGAGTCTGGGGTTAGCCGGCTGCGCCCTTGGCTCCGGGAAGAGCTTTTCGTAGGGCAGCCACGGCCTCGCATGGTCGGATGGCTCAGCTTCCCTGGAGGTTGGTCAGTTGCTTTCTGCTCCCCTGCTAAAAGTGAACATTTTAGTGGTTTAATACGGAACACCCATTAGTTGGCAAAAAGCTGTTCAGTCCTAACATCCCTTGTCAAAATGCAGCAAAGAGTTGGTGGCTTGGATTGGTGGTTCGGGGATTGCAACTTTCTGGGTCTTGAGTAAATGGGAAACCCCTCCCAACCACCAAACCACCAATCCAAACCACCGACTAGAAGGAAGCGGAACTGGTTGGTGTTTACAGCAAAAGCGCAAGGACTCCCCCCCAAAGAAAGCAGCAGGACATTCTACAGGAAACCTCCATTCGACCCTGAACTGTCCGTTTTCAGATGCCCTGCTAAAAGTGAATAACTTTCGTGTCAAACGGAAACCCAACCATCAAACCCTAAAAACCCAAGAATGGATGGCCACCAAGAACCTGTAAGTTGGCTTCGAAAAAGGGAACAAGAACGATGGACATGCCACTGTGTTGGTTTCCTTTTGCTTGTATTCTGTGTCTGCTTCCTTTTGCTTGGATTGTGTTGCTATTGCCGCAACTTGGCTGCAAAGGGGAACCCAAGTGGAACAAAATCCGGTTACTTCACCAGAATTCGGGGCTTCTGTCCGCCAACCACTTAGGTGGCTCCGACTCTTGAATTTCAAAGGCCGTTTTGAGCAACACTAAACTTGGGTCTGTCTTTTTTCAGGGGAGCCCCCAAAATGGCTTTGGTTTTTCCTCTTGGTTTCCGTTTAAAACAACCAACAAGAGGTTTCCCCAAAAAAACAGACAGACCCAGCTGTTGGCCGCACCCCTCCGCAAATGTTTGGCCCGCGGCAAGTTGCTGCAGTTCATCTTGCCGCGCCCGGCGTCTCGAAGACTGACGGAGTGGTACCTGCACTCATCGCTCTTCCACACAAGAGGTTTGCATTTTCCACTGGCCACTTCCCAAGTGGATTGGCCAAAAAGAGTCTGAAATATTTCTAGGCCTCCAGTAGAGAGGTTAAAATAAGGGTGCCCTTTTTTCTGTAGTCTATTTTAGTAGGGGAACCCTCCCCCAAAAAAGGGTAACAGGGCCACCAAATTGATCTACCCAAACAGTTTAAAATCCATGAACTCAGGAAGTGGAAATGAACAGCCTCCCTGCAAAAGGGTTTCTATAGTTCCAGGGACCAGGGCAGGTTTGTTACTTCAGCGGAAAAGGCAACCAAAACACCGGGTCCAAAGGTGTCCTTTGAGAAAAAAGCTACCATTTTGAACCAGACAGACCAAAAAGGACACCTTTGGACCCGGGGGCCATTCTGGGTTTTCCCTTGTAAGCAAAAGGTCTAACCTTTGCAAAGATCAGCCATGCATTGAAGCGGGTGTGTCTTTTTGGGACTGTTTCAAAGGGAAACCAAAAGGAAACCACTCATTTGTGGGGGTTCCTCCGAAAAAAGACAAACCCAAGTGATATCCAACCACAAAGACCCAGCTTGTGGTAAACTACAAGGTTTCACTTGTTCCTCTTGCAACATTGAGTTGCTAGGTCCATAAAAGTAGCGTCATGCAACTTCCCAACGTCTGTTTAAGAGAACTCAACACGCACTTTAAGGAAACCATACCCGTCCAGCTTCACTCTGCACTTCCGATCCTGCGTGGACGACTTAATGGGTCAGTGTTATGTCCCTTGGTGTCACGTATCACCATGGCTACAGGGGACTGAACCGACGCACCGCAAAAAACGGGACGGACCACCTTGCCAGGGAAAGGAACTGGCAGAAGGAAAACCAAATGGTCAACAGGTTAAAACTTAATCTTCTGGAATATTGACTAAACATGTACCAGCAAGGGGGAAACTAAAAGGTCAACAGTTGGATTCGCCTAAAGACCAATATCGACCCCGGATTCATAAGCCCCTGTTTATCAACATAGGGGTGTCCCTGGTAAAACTGGGGGATTCATCACTTTTGGCAGGGAGCCAGTTAGGGTGGGCCTTGCCCATCTTTTTATGGTATCCTAGCGTAGCCCCCCCTCTACGCAAGAACAGCATTTTTCAACCATTTTTTCACTATTCAAATCGTCATCCTTATTCATTATGCATATTTCCACTCAAAACATTTCATAACAGTCTCAACCTCACAATCCATCAAAAAAGTCACATTTTCTCATGTTCTATTCCATCATTCTTGTCATTGTTAGGATGCTTGTGGGGAAATAGAAGTATAGGGTGGTTCATATGATATGGTTATTGATGGTAGGATGCATGGGCAAGGTTAAGCTCATTCATTAAAAAAAAATCCAAAATAATATTGTTCAAAAAAAAAATATCTTCAAAAAAAAATAATAATTCAAAAACTAAATTTTCAAAAAAAAAATAAAAAAATAATATTTTCAAAAAAAAAAGTAATTTTCCAAAAAATAAATTCGCAAAAAATAAATTTTCAAAAATATTATTCCAAAAATTGTGATAAATTATCTTACAATATTCTTATCATAAATTTTGTAGAAATATTATGGGCAAGGTTAGGTTCATTCATTAAAAAAGAAACAAAAAAACAAATTTTATAGAGTATAACTATGGTATAATGAAAGGTTATAAAGTTTTACAATGTTAATTTATATTATAATAACATAATATAAATAAACTGTCGCCCCAAAAAAGGGGGAACCCCACCTAATTTCAAGAAAACATGCTGTTTTGTCGCTGGATTATTATCTATGAATAAACCCCCGTATCTTCATCATAGTCAATTTGATAAAATGTCATAGTTGAAGCCTTCGGTTCTTTAATTTATTTGTTATTAAGTTTGTTTAAATAAATATTTCTTTTATTTTTATATTCACCATTGGTTCTATCTACTTCTTTACTTTGATAATTGTTTGTTATGGTTTCTTCTTTTCCATTTCTTGCAAGATTTCTAAAATATTCTTATTCTGTTCTAAAACCTTGTTCAGTTTTTTAACAATCTTTTCTAATCCTTCATCCATGTAAATATATATATATATTATATTATAAAATAAAACTTTTAAAACTAAATGTTTAAATTATGTTAAATCTACTCTTTAAATACTAATTTTTCATCATTTGTTTAATAGTTTCCTGAGTTTCCTTATCACCATTATCGGATGAGTTTATATTTTGTTGTTCTTTCTGTTTGTGGTATTTTTCCCTGCTTTTCCTGTTGATTTCTTCTCTATGTTCTTCTTTATATATTCTTGCTCTTTCTTTATATTTTTCAGCATTTCTTAAATATTCAAGTCTTTTTCCCGCCTTTATCTGTTCTTGGTGTTTTTCACGGTACGCTTTGTTATCCCTTGCCTTTTGTTGCTTGAAATATTCGGGGTTGTCCTGTTTAAACTCTTGTTCAGTTCTTCCCGGCACTTTAATGTTTAGTGTTGGTTTCCACTCTCGTATTATTTCGCCTTCTCTTTTTTGTAACCTACTTTTGTTCTCACAGGGGCATTCTTCAATTAATTCAATGTAGCAGTTTTCATATCCGTGTTTTATCATAAATGGATAGATTAATGTATTTTGTCGGTTTTGTTTCTTCATATCACCTCTATGCTGTGCCATTCTTTGACTTAAACTTTGACAGGTGCTTCCAATGTAAAATCTTCGGTTATATTATTTCTAATACAATATATTTTACCGTTTTGATAATTTTTAGTATTTTTCACTTTGACACTATCCATATTGTTATATATTGTTTTTTATTGTTTAAGTAGTTTTCATTATTTGTTTAACAGTTTCCTGTGTTTCGTTTTCTCCATTATCGGATGGAGTAGCGTTCCGACCCCATTTAAATGTAATATTATGAACATCTGTTTCTAAGTTGATACTGTCTTTAGTTTTATCAATATTCATTTTCTTATCATTCTTACTTAGTTTGAAACTTGTCGGAATACACGAGCATTTACAATTTCCTTTCTTTTGTATTTCTAATTCATTCTTCATTTCTAACATCTTTTTACACATCGGACAAGCAAACTCAATAACTGATGTTTCTTTAACAACTTCTTCTTTTTCTTCATCAGTTGAAGAAACAACTGGTTCAGTCTTATTCTTTTTCTTTCTTCCCATTTATATTAATATTTACATTTTTATTTTTGATATATTGTATCACAAACTTAATTAATTCTAAAACAAAATAACATATTTTTTTTAATCTATTATCAGTTATAACAACTTGTTCTATATTCTCTACTTCATCTATTATATTGATATAATCTGAATAGCTTCTATTCATATAAAATAATCAATATAAAATATTTTCTAAATAACTTTAATATTATTTTATTATGTCAGATGTTCCAATAATAAAGCCAATAAACATAACTGAATATGAATTCAAACAATCTAAATATGAGCACGTGCCAAAATTACCATTTAGAAGTATTATAGTTGCGAGTTCGACGGGAGGCAAAACAGTTTTAGTTCAGAATCTTATTTTAAATGTTTATAGAAATTCATTTGCAAGAATATTTATATTTTCACCCAGCGTTCATAATGACCCAACTTTTACAGAAGTTAAAAAATATATTAGGGATGAACTACATGTAGATGATGAAAAAGAACAAATTTATTTTGATAATTATAATCCAAGTGATTTAGAAAATGTAATTGAAAGACAGAAGAAAATAATTAATTATATGAAATCTAAAAAGATAAAGAAACTACATTCAATATTAATCGTTATAGACGATCATGCCGACGATCCTAAATTTGTTAGATATAGTAAATTATTACATGGATTATTTACAAGAGGTAGGCACGATGCAGTAAGCGTAATTTGTTCAACACAGAAATATAATGTGTTGGCGCCTATCATTCGTTTAAATGCCAGTTCATTATATATTTTTAGGTTGAAAAATGCCAGTGAATTAATGAGTTTTATTGAAGAAAATAGCGCCATTGTTGACAAACAGCAATTATTAGATATGTATCATCAAGCCGTTAATGACGCACCTTATAGTTTCTTCTACGTGAATATGAATGCTAAGAATGTGAATGACATGTTTTTTCTCCGTTTTGAACAGGCATTTCAAATTACAAATGATGAATAAAGATATTCTAATTTAATATAATATAATAATATGCTAATGAAACTATGTAGATGTGGTGGATTTTATCGTAGAGGTAATTACAATTTTCATACTAATTCTTGGATACATAAACTTTATAAAGTGTTGAAAAGACGACCAACAGACGAGGAATTATTAAGATTTCAAAATAATTTTGTTGATGAAGAAGATTTAATAGATGATATGTGTAGCAACGCCTCAACAAAATTACCCGAAAGTGAAATGACAGATTATGATAGTAATTAATAATATTAATGTATGTTAATATTATCAATTTAGAATAAAGAATAGCTACATAAATTTAAGGCAGGAAATTTATAATATGTTTTATCTTTTTTACATTCATTAACTTTTTCTAATTTATTTATTATTGCTTTCAATGAATTTATTTGTAGAATATCAATTCTTGACATTTCACTTATCGTATTTACATCTATATCTTTTATTACTTTAATAGCCTCTTCATCATCAATTTCTACTGGTTTTGATTTACTTGAACCCATTATATATAATATTATTTAGATTTTAATTTTTCAAAATTATATTTTTGTTTTTCTTCTCCGTCTTCTTCTTCTTCGTCTTCAGTTGGTGCTGGTATTTCTGTTGGACTTTCAGATGAAGAACTATGAACAGTAATAGGTGGCGAACTATGAACACTAATAGCTTCATTTGATGAATTGCTACTGCTACTTTGTGCATTTCCTGCTGTTATTTGATTAACTAAATCTGCGATATTTATTGTTGTTGCAATTGCGCTATGTGATAAGTTTAATATTATATCTGCTACTGTAGCGCCGTTGTGTAGCATTATTTCTATCATTTTTGTCAGTT